ACTGACGAATTTGTTAATTGCAATTTCAAGTCAGGGTAACTCAGCCCTAAAAGCGTGCTGCGAAGGGAAACATCGTGAGAAAACCTGCATATTTTGGAAATAATAACAAAAAAAAATCGAAGACATGAATGGTCTTCAAAATGCCATGGTTTCGTATGGTGGACTATGCCTTAACACCCACTATACAAAGGAGGCATTTGACCAGTGGTGGGACATATTTTTTTTTGTGAGAAATTGTCAAATAACCTAACGGTTCACTTGGCTGTATTAACCCATTTTTTTTTTACTTCTTGCGATTTTAAACTAACAACAATTCGTGCGGAGCTTTCACAGTTGAAAACTACACCGATGGTTATACAGTATACTTGTCTCTTACGCTAGAAGGCGGGTTCGATCCTCACTACTTGAAAAAATTTACATGAGTAACTTAGTTACAAAATAAAAGAGTTTTTAATTATGTTTATCAGTTACCTAGTACATATAGTACTAGCTTTGCTAATTTTGAGCTTATTTACAAATTCGATTTCGATCGAACGTATTCGATTTCTCCGAAACGGTACACGTTTTCCTCCGTTTATTTTTAGAATCACCTGCCTCGCGCTCTGTCTCTAACTCAAGTGCATAGTTCTGTAATTAAAACTTGTTATCTCTATGCACATCTGCCGTGGTCAAATTCAGTCCGAATAAGAGATGAACGTCTTTACGGCAAAGGGCATTGTGATTTGTAACCTACTACGCGTACAATTTACAGCTGTATTGCCTTATCAGATGGGATAGTGCTCGTACTCATACATTATGGAATATACTTTAGTTGGTAAAGGCCAATAGGTAAGTATAGTAAAGGAACAGCCTATATATGTCTCACTGCTGGGCAGAGGCCCTGAGGCCCTACGGAGGGTATTAGAGCATAGTTCACCACGCGGCCCCACTGCCGATTGGCGGACTTACATATCGTCGTCATATATGTTTTTGTCATTATTTCGAAAATATGAAGGTTTCCTCACGCCTATTTCACCGCTGAGCAGGTGATAAGTCAGCACTTAAAATAAACAATTTCGTTGGTGCCGGCACCGGGGATCGAACTCAGGTTGCTCGAGTGTATTGAATTAAAATCGAGCGCCCGGACAATGCGCTATCATATAAGTGAACATTATTTTCTTTGGTAAAAAATATATATTATATATCAATAAGCACCGTGCCCTTATAGTTAATGGGGATCGAACCCACACCTTTTAGCGCAAGAGATAGGATCACAATCCATTAAGTTTGTTATTAAGTCGTTTTTGCAATAACTACAACATTTTTTCACTTATGTTGTGGTATGTGTGGTTATGTGTGGGTAATGAAATATATGACACGGATATAAATAAACTTGCGAGCCGCTTCGTAAGTTTTCTTTCTTACTCTTTCTTTTTCATTTATTTCTTTTTTAATATAACTGATAATCAGTTCTTTTTACTGACTGACATGTCATAGTTTTGTACTTTTGTTTTCTTTCCTTCGTGATAATATACACCATTTCCGCGTCTCTTAATTATAGCTGAGGTCGTGCCAAACAATTTAAAAGTGCACGTGGACAATTGAACAGTGTTATGTCACTACAATCCTTTTGGCCCTTCAATTAATACTTATTGTTGGGCCGTTAGGGACAACAATGTAACTAAACACTGACATCTCGAATTATAATCGCGGAAGCGAATATGTGTACCAATTGATCGATATGACATTCGAATAGCTGTTGTTGTAATTCGTAGTTCAAATTCTGATGTTCGCGGCGGTGGACAAAAGCATCGTGTGAAAACAGGTACATATGTGTGAAGGCTACTCCCTGAAATCCTCAGTCTTGAGAAGAGCTTTAACCTAACAGTATAAATTGTAGGTTGTTACTCACGATGCTTGTACCTAAAAGAGGAATTAAAAAGACAAATTCGTCGTAAACGTCGAATGTACTAAAAGAAGACATAAGGTGACATAAGGTTAACCGAATAGTTAATAGTGATATCTAAATACTTATGAAGTCTTACTGATTGATTGGAATCATTACTAATTAGTTCAAGATCACATCGATGATTGAAAGCGGTGAGAAAGGGATATAGCCAGTGGTATCCACTTTTTGCGGTGATTGTTAGAGCCCATATGACAGATAGTTATTTGTCGCGTCAAAATTTGTGACTACACATTATACTCTTGCAAGAAATCCAAAGCAACAATGAGTACCTACACAATATTGTACTCCTGATGAGTTGAAATCACGGCTTCCAATTCCTTTTGAACAACTGAGAGAATATGAACTGCTTTTATGAGATGTAATTACGTAAGCGTGCAAAATAAATCCGCACCGACATTGGTGACGCCAAGTGACTGGAAAGTAATTAGAAGGAGGAAAATCGATGGAATTAATACGTGAACAGATACGTGGAATAGTCTATAAGTAACACGTTTATCACGATTATTGGTAGCGAATGAATATAATGATTTATTTGAATGAAACAAATACACTGTTGCGAAAGTCTACAGGTTCTAAAGTTGAGGTAACTTGTCGTTTTTTTGAAAATTTCAGTAAGCATGTTTAAAGTGCAGATCTTGAGTGCAAATTAGAATAAAAAAAAACGGGCAAGTTCAAGCCGTATTTGAGCACGAAGGGCTCCGTACCATTATCTATAACAACGGCAAAAAATCATGTCTGTTGTATGGGAGCCCACTAAAATATTTTTTATTCTGTTTTGTATTTGTTGTTATAGCGGCAACAGAGGTATATCATCTGTGAAAATTTCAACTGTCTATCTATCACGGTTCGTGAGATACAGCCTGGTGACAGACAGACAACGGAGTCTTAGTGATAGGGTCCCGTTTGACTCTTTAGGTACGGAATCTTTATAAAATTAATCCTACTATTTTCTTCATTATTTTAACCGAAATGCATACAAGGTCATTATTATTTGACATCCTTGTTTACTTGAGCGTGTTCATTTTGTAAATGCCGAATTAACATGCGCAGAGCAAATTAATAAAGGAGCTTTTTTAAATTGAGTAAATGGTTAATATACACAAATGTTTATTTTATTTTGTTCATATTAATTGTCTTAAACAATTACATTAGATCGCAAGTTACCCTGAAGATATCATCATCAGATACACATCTGCTGCAAGCTGAACAAACAAGCTATATGTGAGAAGGTGCCAAAAGAACAAGAGGTTCAGAATAGCTTTTTTTTTATGTGAAAAGTTGCCAAACGAGCAGACGGTTCACCTGATGTTAATTGAATACCGCCGCCCATGGACATCTGCTACACTCGAGGGTTCCAGATGCGTTGACAACCTTTTGAAAATTGGGCTCCGGCCACCTCACTCACCAGACGAAACGCGAAAGTATTATATTTCCACTTAGGCTGCCTCTCATCTAAGGGGTACTTCGGTCAGGGCCGGGGCGGCATCGGAGGCAGCTGAAGTAAGTAAATGGCGCAAATATGAGTCTTTATGTTCAGATTATGTATTTGTGCCATTTGCTGTTGAAACATTAGGTCCGTGGGGTCCCCGCACATCAAATTTTTTTAAAAGTTTATGTCCTAGGCTTAACGCCGCGGCTGGTGACAAGAGAGCTGGTTCTTTTCTCGCGCAAAGGTTAAGCATAACTATTCAGCGAGGAAATGCAGCTAGCGTTCTTGGCACCATGCCGCGTGGATTAGGTTTATTAGATAATATGTAATTTTAGATAGATTTAATCTTGTAAATATTAGGTCAATAAAGATTGTATTTTTTGGAAAAAAAAAAAAAAAAAAAAAATTTCCACTTTACGCCGGTCTTCTGTGAGGTCGTGGTACTTACCCGGACGAGCCCGCCCATTCGGGCAACAAAAAATAGCGATACGAACCTTTAAAAAGTGGGTTATAGGACACTTACCAGATGCCAGATGTGTACTTTAACTTCATAACGACTTTTTGTAAAGCCGTATTTCGCTTCCCGATTCTCCAAAAACACCCTATCCCATTTCGAATGTGGTGAGATCTTTTAATATCATTATCGATTCGTAGTACAACGACACAGTTTTGCACATTCATTACGAAACGAGTGATGATTCTGCATCCTAATTATTATCTCAAATGTCTTTAATGATCATTATGAGATGGGAGTTTATAAGCTTACTAGCTAACTCGGCAAACGTTTTTTTGCCATATAAATTATTTGTAGGGAATTTTATTGGGTAGAAAAAAATGTTTGGGGTGGACCACCCTTATCACTCACGATCGATTCTCAGACCTACCAAATATACATATGAAATTTCATAAAAGTCGATCATGCCCTTGAGGAGTATGGCAACTACTATCATCGTGACACGAGAATAGCGGACTGGACAGACGTTGTCCTGTACACACGACTTAAATACGAAAACTTAAAAAAACACAATTTTTTTTCTATAATCTACATATAAAAAAATCATTCTAATCGGTCCACCTGTTTAGGAGGAGTTCAGTGACAACACACGTACAGTAGAATTACTTATACAGCGTGTCGTTACAACCGCGACAATAAATGAACACACGTCTAATGTTACTTGCCAATAATCATAAAAAAATATTAACGTTAAAAAATCCATAATTAAAAAAAATATATTTTTCAAACAAACTAATTAAGTTAAAAAAAAAAAAACATCCTATACAACTACAACTGACTGATTCATACATTCAGAGACTTTTTCATTCGTTACCATAGCATCGCATTACAAGCCTCTCCTTCTAACAGTATGTTTTGTCTCTTCAAATTCATACAACCCATTCATATGCTTTGTGACCCTTACAAATGAACTTTACGTTACAGTTTTATACGTAAGGGTGTTCTAAAATTTTTTGTTTTAAAATTTGATAACTCGGTAAATATTGATGTTTAAAGAATGTAAATGTTTAATTCAATTTAAATAGTTATCCTCTATATATGTGTTCATTTATTGTCGCGATTGTAAAGACACGCTGTATATAGATAATTAACAGTGACATTATTTTCAGTGTGCATGCCGATCCTAGCATACGGGACCGCCATGGGGTGGATATCGCCCAACAAAGCGCTGCTGATGGGGGAATCCTCCCCCTCCGACGCGCCCCTCACTGAAGAGGAGGTCTCCTGGATGGCGTCCATTATGTTCATCTTCGCGCCGATCGCGGTCTTCATTTACGGTGTGGCTGCTGACAGATTTGGCAGGAGGAATGCCTTGCTCTGCGCTTCCCTACCCATTTCTGTGAGTAATTTTAATTGTATTTTTGTAGATAAATGGACAAAACCGTTCAGTACATTGATACTAACGGCATTTTAATCGACTATGCAAGTGTTTATGTACATATGTATCGATTTAAAGTAGTAATTCCATCTTGATTCACCGGCAGATTTTCACCAATAATAAGAACCGTTGACATTATATTTATTCAATGCTCACTACGCATCTCGTTTCGATTGCGACTTACAATAGGAAATTATTGTCGGTTAGTTGTTTTACCAGCCCTCTCAAATGCTAAAATACCATGAATTTTAATTCGAACGGGACATTTTGTCTCCCCTAATTTTAAATCAAAAAGAGCACAGACAAATTTAAATTAAATGACGTAGTCGATTGAGCGATAGAAATTACATATTCATCACAATATAAATTATATCTAATAAACATAGTCCACGCGGCATGGCGCCAATAACGAAAGCTGCATCTCCTCGCTAAATACTTATGCTAATTATAATATAATTTTAAGCGAGAAAATATAATCTAAGAATAAAAAAAAATAGATTTTCCTCTAAGCCAGATTATTAACGTCCAATCGTATAATAGTCCGTCTAAACTTTGCCACCACGAAAGGAATTGACAATTAGACTTTGTTACATAAATTGCGTACGTTGTTCTTAAAGTGCCCGTTTGTGAGGCAGGCCACCTACAAGCCGGCGTTGGAGAGTTTGATGTCCGTTTGCTGCGAAAGCAAAGTGCAGCCCTAAGAATAGTTGGCTTTTAATATAAGGCCCGCTATACACGGAACGGTGACAACGCTTCATTGGATGCAACAATTGACGGACCTGCCCATTTATGCAACAGCGAACACTATAGCGTGGCCCTACCACGAATATTTCAATAACTGTAATAATATAATTTTAACTCAACAAATTAATCTATGTTATATTTAAATAAGACTTAATGAGTTTAATTTATAATCGTATATTGTAGCGAAAGGAAGCTTAGCTAAAAATACTTTGCTCGTTCCCTACTCTCCAGTCTAAAGTATTTTCAATATTCCGATCGCAAGATTATTAATAGACACAGAATACGATGTTTTATTTCCCAAAAATACCTTTTGTTCAGTAAACCACTTATATTTGAGTTTGTGGCATTTCTAACTATAATACATTACGATAAAACAGTATTTTTCAACAGTTACATGAGGACACGTGGACAAACATACTTCAATTTAGTGACATTCACATCGTAAGCAGTGCCGGATTAAACTAGCGCGCAAATTGTTTCAAACAGCTGTTACTCTGCTATGGGTTCCTAAGTATAAAGTGTTAAAAGAACAATTCAATGCTGTTTCTTATTTTATGTCTCAATAAAAAATTAAGGCTCAGGCAGAGATGAGTGGGTTTAAAAATGCGGGGCTCCTTTTAGCGCGAGGCCCGTAGCAATTGCTACGTTTGCTACGTGGTTAATCGAGCACTGCTCGTGTGTAAATACCTTTACAGCACTCAAATCAGCTGGCGCACGTTTAATGTTTGAAAGCGTCTGGCGCCTCACGGGAGCGAATTATTTACCCGTTGCTGCACAGTTGATGCGAGAACGGTTTAGCTATTTAGCATGCTATAAAACCCTAATAGCATTTAACGACAGGCAAAGGAACCTTAGAGCACACGTGTAATTTGAGCTTTAGAGTCCATCTTGTGTTACACTAAATTAACTCGGCAATGATAGCTAGAAAACACGCCGATAAGACCGATGACTCATCTTGTGATTAGAAAAATAAAGAAGTAAATAAAGTGCAAAAGAAATAGTCGAAACATTTCCTCGGATTCTTACCTATGTCTCCTCGCTATAAGTCTCGGAATGTATAGTTGCTCATTATCTGGCTTCAAGCGTTGCTCAAATTTCAGGAAAGTAGGAAGATTTTATGGTAAATTTTTATTTTTGGTGCTAGTCTCTGCACTCAAGATGAAACTATAAACTGTGATTTTTTGTACATAAATTAACAAAAATGTTGATTTTTTGTTGACGTTCAATAAGAGTTTAAGTTAAGCCTATATTGAATAAAGTTTATATGACTTTGACTTTGAGACACCACAACCTCACAGAAGACCGGCGTGATATTAGATGTAGTAAGTGAGGTAATCGGGAACCACTCTTACAAAAATTCGCACCGCGTCTGCTTCCACAGATATGATGTCCATAGTCGGCAGTAATGACAACATCAGATGAACCTTGTAACATATTGAAATGCAAACAAACGAGGCATAATGTAATTGAATTCCTCCGCAGCTCGGCTGGGCCATCAAGCTCATCTGCGCCCATCCAATAGCTCTGATTGGAGCCAGGGCTTTGATCGGCTTTGGCTCCGGCGGTGGCTTCGTCGTCTGCCCGCTCTACGTAAAGGAGATCAGCGAAGACAGCATTAGGGGAATGACTGGAACCTTCGTCATATTCTCTCAGGTTAGTTAATACAAATAAAGATTTCATGTCTCGGTGAATGCTAAGCTATACGCTCGGCGCGCGGTCCATAAGTTAGATGCCTATACGATACAAAGTACAAAAAAAGTAAAGTAACAGCCTATAAATATCCCACTGGTGGGCAAAGGCCTCCTCTATAAAGAGGGTATCAGGGCATAGTCCACCACGCGGCCCCACTGCGGATTGACGGACTTCACATATTTTCGAAATATTTTTTTGTTATTATTTCGAAAATATGCAGGTTTCCTCTCGATGTTTTCCTTCACCGCCGAGCACTTGATAGATCAGCACTGAACGTTAGCAATATCATCGGTGCTGGCACCGGGGATCGAACTCAGGTTGCTCGAGTTAATTGATTTAAAGGCGAGCGCCCGGACACTGAGCTATCACGGCTACGATAAAAATCGTTGTGTAAAGGTTTACACAACGATGGTGACTTTTCCGTATCTGCTTGTTTGACTACATAGTCATGGATATGTGATTGTAAAAAAACATTGCCAACACAATGCTGCAAAATTATCATCGTGATAACTTTAGTCGTTTAAGGCCACTGCTTGTGTAGTAGTCACATGAACATAGGCATCCCCTTCATACTGCCACGAAGCACGATCCTTCGACTTCCCACACATTGGCACAGTTCGTCACCACGTCTAGCCTCCTCAAGGAGTGCAAAATACTACAAAAATAATGATCTAAAATTCTTAATAAAATTACGCGACTTACTGGTGAGAAGCGAGCTTTCTTAACACCGTGCTGCGTGATCTAATTTATTAGATAAATTAGTATTTAGTTCTTTTATTTTATGCGAAAAGTTGACAAACGAGCAGACGGTTCACCTGATGTTAGGTGAATACCGCCGCCCATGGACATCTGCTACACCCGTGGATTACAGATGCGTCGACAACCTTTTGAAAATTGGTCTCCGGCTACCTCACTCACCAGTCAAAATGCGAAAGTATTTGTCATACTTCCACTTTACGCCGCTCTTCTGTGAGGTCGTGGTACTTACCCGTACGAGCTTGCCCATTCATGTAACAGCCGAGGCTGCTGCGTGGCCCTACCACAGTTAAAAATTAGTTAAAGTTTAATACAAAGTTCATAAATTATGTTTGATTCAAATAACGTATTAATATCTAAATGATTTAGAGGTAAGAGGGATGATAATTACATTTTATGTAGGAACATAATATTCCACTGTCTACAAATTTGTATGAATAACTTTGCTATATGTTAAACATACACAACCGTTTAATTCTGCCTTATGGCAATTTACTTACACCGAATATTATGGATGCGTGTATTGTAAATGGGTAATCTCTAATCATGATTTAAGTTTACGGGTTCGAATCAAAAGTTGGCTTGCTTTAATGAGTTTTCTGTTATCGGATTTCAGGTTAAAGACATTTCTTTATCACAAAAGATCATTACATAATTCACCTAAACCGTGATAAATATATAGAAGACAATGAAATATGTATGTGTACTACATACGACAACCTTTACGACTCGAGTTGATGGTTTCGTATTAGGGGACAAAAAAACACTTTCTTTCACATTGTAGAATTCATCAGTTAAACCATTGTTAGTTAGATCTAGAATAAACAAAATAGAAAAATATATTGACTATGTAATACATACAATATTTCATAGTCAATATATTTTTCTACTGGAGTTTCAGTTTAGTTTTATTAGGATCATTTTTCTCTTACATTATCAACGATATTTCTACTCTTTTGTTTGAAAGTAGTTTTCACCTACAATTGTTTCCACTTATGTCATAGTTCATTGGAGTTATTTTATTTCCTTTTCAGAGTATTTTTGTTGGTGTTGAACAAATAACAAACAAATCTCTATTTGAACGACAGTAAAGTTAAAAGAATTTTCAGCTGGTTTTATTTGTGTCACGAATTACGAAAACCAACAACACTTATTATCTGAGAAATTAGTTACGATAAACGAAAGATAATGCATTATTTATACGGATCAATTGTCTTAGTTCTTTAACCGTCGATACGCAATTAAGTGCTTGCTTAGCTAATATCTAAACAAATAATAATGCAAACAATAATGCTTAGCTAATATCTATTTCTTGCGACTAACATTAGGAAATACAAGAAACATTTTTATCTAGCCGCTGCTCCTGAATTGGGGAATCACCTGTTGTAGTCTTTGTTTGACTTACATTGAAAAAATACCCGTGTTTTCCTTATCGTTATCGGCAATGTATCTTAACCTCTGATGTGTAACTAATTGTTACTGATGTAATTTGTTGTTTGTTGAACCTAATTGATACAAAAAAGATAACTCTGAATAATTAGTTCGAATATATTTCTTCTATTAAAAAAAAACGTTCAAAATTAGGCAGTGATATTAACACTGAGGATTTCCTTATTTAATATTGGTACGGCTACGAAACATGTTCCGCTGTTCGAATCCGGTAAAGTACCATGGGCTCACGGAAGGTTAGCGTGAAGTAGAAATAAAATACCTTTGTTTAGTCTGGTGACTAAGATAATCGGGACGTGCTGTTCTGCAACTCCACAGGTAGTGTACCTCGTAGCAATCTCTCACATGTAACCGCTCTAACTTTTCACAAAAAACACCTTTCGATGAGTGTTAGTGTTAATTGTGATATTATAGGAGCAATATCGTGGTATCTTTCTTTTTATTTAATGTAGTGAATTTGTAACCCGGAGAAACGATGAACCCTTTAGTTTTCAGTTTATCGGCCTTCTTGCGAGCAAAGATAGTTGTCTCAAGCTTGTTTCTCGTTTAACACCGAACCGTTCGTATATTTAAATGATCAACTATGTATTATATCTCTTTATACTACATTAAGGCAAGGGGCCCCCCTGAACGTAGGCGGACTTCACATATCTTCGAGAATTTTTTTTTGTTTTTTTTTTTGTTATTTCGTAAATATGCAGATTTCCTCATGATGTTTTACTTCGACACTGAGCACGTTACCACGTGTCAGACATACAGTCACTTATCGGTATTAGTCGGCACTTATAATTAAAAATTTCATCGTTGCCGCCACCAGGATTTGAACTTAGGTTTTATCCAAATCCATTCAGTTGTTAGTATTTTCGTGAAAGAGTAACAAACATCCATCCATACATACAAACTTTCGTGTTTATAATATTAGTAAGTATAGTAGAGCCATGATAGCTTAGTGTCCGGGTGCTCGCCTTTAATTCAATATACTCGAGCAACCTGAGTTCGATCCCCGGTGCCGGCACCAATAAAGTTTTTAACTTTAAGTGCTGTCTTATCACGTGCTCCGGGGTGAAGGAAAACTTCGTGAGGAAACCTGCATATTATCGAAATAATAACAAAAAAAAATATTTCGAAGATATGTGAAGTCCGCCAATCCGCAATGGGGCCGCGTGGTGGACTATTCCCTCTATATAGAGGAGGCCTTAGCCCAGCAGTGGGACATGTATAGGCTGTGACTTTACTTTTTTATAGTACGGATAGTAAGGAAAGTAAGGAAGTAAGGATTAAAAAATCGGCGGGACACTGAGCTATCACGGCTTCAAATCTAGTACGGAGACTAATATGATCGGTTTCACAGACTGTCGGGAACCTTCTGGTCTTCGTGTTGGGCGACCTACTTCCCTTCAACACCGTGCTGTGGATTCTTCTCGCCATTCCGCTAGTCCACTTCTGTATACTTCTGCGGCTGCCAGAAACACCTTCTTACCTTGTGAAGTGCGGTAAGAACGAGGTAAGGAATGTCCCGTCACAATTTACTAAATTTCAGTGGCCACGGGGTAGAAATGCTTAGTGTTTTCTACTGTGGTACTACGCAACAGTATTCACTGTTGCACGAATGGGCAGGTCCGTCCGGGTTAGTACCACGACCTCACAGAAGACCGGCGTAAAATAGAAGTGTTACTAAGTAAAGTTCTGCGTTTCGTCTGGTGAGTAAGGTACCTGGGTTCCATTTTATTAAAAGGTGGCAACACATTTGCAACCGGTGTTGCAAAACTCCGTGTGCGGCGGTTATATATATATATATATAATACTGTTGTGTAGCCCTACCATAAAAGTATCAGCCTATACATGTCCCACTGCTGGGCAAAGGCCTCCTCTGTACAGAGGATATCAGGGCATAGTCCACCACGCGGCCTCACTGCGGATTGGCGGACTTCACATATCTGAGAAATATTTTTTTTTGTTATTATTTCGAAAATATGCAGGTTTCCTCACGATGTTTTCCTTCACCGTTGACCACGTGATAATTCAGCACTTAAAATTGACAATTTCATTGGTGCTGGCACCGGGGATCGAACTCAGGTTGCTCGAGTATATTAAATTAAAGGCGAGCGTCCGGATACTGAGCTATCACGGCTATCCACCATATATACACTTTATAGCTTAAAGATGTTTTGCTTATAACTTTGCATTGTATAACAGCTTGCATTCCTTCCAATGTTTACATTGTACCATCCATGGGTATTGATAAAAACAATTGAATGGGAAGATGCTAATGTTTCATCTTTCCACTTCTTAATAGGAAGCAACTAGAAACGTCCACTTAACGTGCGCTCAGCTATTAGCGACAATAACGAGCCTCATTCAAAGTCATGCATTTGATTTGTGTCTAGTTTTCTGTAGCACAGTCCTATCGGCATAAAAGAGATCGTGATTGTAATTAACTATGAATGGGACGTCGCTTATAAATAAAGATGGTCGATGTGGACTTAATGTGCTGGTTTTAAGAATTATTATGACACGATAAACGCTTGATCTGATCTGGACATTCTGAGTGTTTTAACAAAAACCGGCCAAGTGCGAGTCGGTTTCGCGCACGAAGGGGATATAAGAAAAAGCTAAAATATCCTTGCAGGTCTTATTAAAACGAATACAAGGATACTTTGTGCAACATAAGCATAAGTAGGTCCAAGTTGCAGTAAAAATATTCTACGGAGTAACTTTTGGTGGAAATTCTCAAAGCAAGCAATAAGACAAAGATCTTCGGTATTTATACGTGGAATGGCCTATACCTACGTGCATTCTTTTCACCTATAAAAAGAATCCCCCAAAAAGGTTTTTCCAACTACCTCGAAACAGCCGCTGTAGAATAAACTTTCGCTTTTTTAGGAAACGGCAAGGGTCCTCGGCTGGCTTCGATCACTCCCCACTGACGACAAGACCATCAGTGAGGAAGTAGACCGCTTAATCATCGAGCAGACCACCAGCGAACTCAAGTTCTCCCCACGTCTTTTATGTGAGTTTCCATTAAAATACAGAATACGCTCATCCCGATTCAGCATTTTTAAATTTATGTCACGGCGTTATCGTTAATCATATCCATCGTTCGTAAATGTTTAGCTCTCCTCTGGCTAAGATCGTCATACGTACAATTTTATGAACGCAATATATAACTAATATCCATCGTGATTGAATTCGCAGTCTCCAAACTAATGAATTAAAATTTAGCACTAAAATTTATTATAGCGACACCCTTATTTTGCTTTAACTTGTTAATTCCCTTTTGTCTTTAAGGTAAACCATCAACGCTGTTGAGAATTTAAAATCAAAATAAAATGCATAGTATTGGTATAAATACAAGAAAACATCAATGTATGTAGTTAAGTATTACCCGTCTAACGCATGGGTGCAAAGCCACGACCCTTAGGCACGCCACAAAGCCAACAGGCTTACGTAGCACTTTCACACGTAGTGTTACCACCAAAGCTCTGAGAGTGCCACAGCCTAAAAACGTGACCTCTTGAAAGTGGCATTCTTATCCAGTCAACGAAATATAAGCACCAAACTGCCACAAGCCGAAAGCATGCTTCGCTCGACAAAAGCAAACAACGGACGTCATCGGAGTCAGGCGTCAATTAACTCTAGTGCCACCCGACCTGGACAACCGAATTAGGCGACGTTACGAATTGGACGCAACGGCGGGCCGCGGCGTCAAGGGCGAACGCGTCGACGACGCCTCAATTGGCCCAATAAATCTGTTTGCGATACTTCGCTCCGTTCGCGAACCGTTCCGTGTTGTTTCGACCTCCTCGACCGCGTACACGAGCTTTGGAAATGATATAATACATAAATTATTGTCGAAAGTTTCCGCGTTGTGGGATTCCGTCGTGCGTCTTTCGTGTAACGCACCCAGACACTAGCCGATTAAGCTAAGCGGCAGATGTCGTCGTAGTGCGAAAGTCTAGAAAACTATATATTTATTTTATTTTTCATTCCCAACAATGCTTGTCGTCGACTAGTAACTTACTTCATAATATGCCGACACTCTTAAATAACATTTTACAAATAATATTTGAACGACAGCTGGTGTTGTCTTTGGACAGAAATTACATGGAATCGGCCCCGAATCTGAGATTTGTCTCGTCTTTCGAAAGACTTACATAAAAGGATAAACATTTTAAATCCAAGAATACAACCGCTTTTTAAAGCAATTCCGTACAAGCGAACTACCTTACGGAACGATTGGTATTCTACATATATTTTTTACATCGTTTTATCGCGTTTGATTGCAGCTTTGTTTTCGGTCTTAGTTAAGATGGCTTCCTGGGTTCCCATAATGAATGCTGACTCCGTCGCGCGGGTCTTGGGTTCGATTCCCACACGGGACAACTGTGCAACCCACAACAGTGGGTCGCACAAACAGTTGTCACAATAGTTGTCACAACACAATAGTTGTTTCACATCTGAGTGTTTGTCCTTGTGCAATTTATGTTTGTAAAACGTTCTTACAACATAGGATAATGTTATCCTAAAGTGAGGCCAATGCCTAAAAAAAAAATAATAAAAAAAATGCTGTGGCGGGGGCTTGTGGTTATATATGCTGTGGCGGGGGTTGTGGTGACGTATGCTATGGAAGGAACTCGCATGATATGTGCCGTCGCGGGGGCTTGTGGTTACGTATGCTGTGGCGGGGGCATGTGTTACATATGCTGTCGCGGGGGCTTGCGGTGACGTATGCTGCGGCGGGGGCTTGCTCTGACGTGCGCTCTCCGCCCCACAGTCTCGGACAGGACCGCGGTGAAGGCGTTCTGGGTGGCGCTCATCGTGAACCTGACGCGCGAGTTCTGCGGCTGCATAGCCGTGCTGGTGTACGCCAGCCATATATTCGCCGAGGCCGGCCGCGACCCAAACAGCAGCATAGCGCTGTCCCCCAACAAGCAGTCGATCCTCCTGGCGGCCGTCCAGATAGTCGGCTCCTTCCTCGCCTGCCAGCTCGTCGACCGCGCCGGCCGGAAGGTGTGTTCCGCAAAATCTTTATAAATAACTAGCTTTTCGCCCGCGTCTCCGCTCGGGTTGAAGCCCATAAATAAATATCTTTCAACCCTTTACAATACTTTTTTCCTTATTAAAAATAGCCTATGTGCTTTCTCAGGCTCTAGACTATCTGTGTACCGAATTTAATAATTTAGGAGTGAAAGCGAGACAGACAGAGTTACTTTCGCATTTATAATATTAGTAAGGTAGTATGGACTAGCGGACCTGACTGACGATGCCCTTTAAGTAATTTTAAGGCTTAAGTAATTCCCACAGGAGGCAGAGGTTTCCTCGGTATGGAAAAAAATTAAAGAGTCAATGAGTCAAATTATGTCAGGCAACTGGGATGTAGTATGTGGCAGAGAGCCGTGATAGCTGATAGATGTCTGCTCACTTATTAATTCAATATACTCGAGCAACTTGATTTCAAAATTCCAGTCCCAATGCAGTTGTTAATTTAAATTTTAAGTCCTTAGCAAGTGGCTAAGCATTTACGGATAACATCGCAGAGAAACTTTTACACTATGAAGTCTACCAATCCGCAATGATGTCGCGTGGTAGACTGTACAGAGGTACAGAGTAATATACTATAATAGTAATAATTATAAATATTAAATTTATAATATAATAGTATAATAATAATTGTAAATATTAAATATATAACATATAAAATATATAATATAATAGTAATACCCTCTGTACAGAGGCGTTTGCCCAGCAGCGGGGCATATGTAGGCGGTCACTTTACAAGCGAACATTCCCCAGCCGCTGTTGGCGGTGACCAGCGCGGTGGCCGGCTTCAGCATGTGCCTGCTCGGCGTGTGGTTCTACCTCCAGAGCGTGGGCGTGTACATGCCCGGCTGGGTGCCCATAGCGGCGCTCTGCGTGTGCATCTTCGCCGACGCCTCCGGGCTGCAGCCGCTGCCCTTCGTCATCATGACCGAGATGTTCAACTTCCAAGTGAGCGTTAGCCTTTTTTTATCGTGGGGAAATCCGTTATGGATACCCGGCCTCCCACATAGGGTAAGTCAGGTTATGTCGGACTCACACCGACTAAAACAACACGGTGGTCGCCATCAGATTTTATGGGGGGTCACGGGATCTCCGCTTGGAACACTACCGCGGTCCCCCTTGGCTTGGCTTAAGTAGCCTCGTCCCAGTCATATAACCCAACCTTGTGGTGCAACCACGATAGCTTGAACCTACTACAAGCCATTGGTTCGCCCTTGGGTTCGCTGTACTGACCTAAAGCGGCCCAGTTGCCCGCGATCCGAGTGAGCGTTAGCCTAGCTTTCATTGCATGTACCTATAAGCAATGATGTTTTATTAAGATGACGCGCTTAAGACATCAGGTGAGCCGCCTGCTCGCTCGATAAGTTTTCAGATAAACAATAAGATCGTAAGCTGTGTGACTAGTAAGCTACAGACCCCGCTTGATATTACACTGATGTGTCAAAAACAGTTAACACCTTTGAAAAATTGTATGTAGTAAAAATTTGTTCATCAAAATCACTCACGACATGAAAACACTTTCGAGATGGTTAACGTATTTGTTTCTACACCATAAAGTTTTATCCTACGATCTAATATACGAAATATTAATTTCATTTGATGACTCCGTGGCGCAATTGCCAAGATATTGTTTTCGGCGTTTTATTTAGGTGTCCACGTAAAATTTATTTTTGTAAAACGCCTGTTACAACACAGGACAATGTTATACTTACTATAAGGGCAGTGATTTTTTTAAAAAATATTTGTAACGGACTGAAAGTCAAACAAGTTATAGAGTAAGAATAAAGCTTATATTATTTGTTATAGCTCCGCGGCACAGTGGCAACCCTGATAATGGCGATTTCCCTCGGTACCGATTTTGCGCTGCTGAAGCTGTTCGCGCCCCTCAACTCGTGGATAGGGTACCACTCCACCTTCTGGGTGTTCAGCGTCGTCTGCCTGTCCAACGTGTTCTACCTGATCTGCTGCGTGCCGGAGACGAAGATGAGGAGCTTGGAGGACATCTACGCAGACCTAGAAGGGGAGAAACGGAAGGACAACGGGCAAATTGTGGAAACAAACCACGTGTAATCGGCAACGTTCCTATTTTAACATAAGCGTACCTATAAATGTTCTAATGTAAATTGAATTTGATATTCTTACCTATAAATGTTCTGTTATGAATTGATTTTGATATTCCCGCTCGCTGGTAACTGTTTTGTGGCACTTCTTCTCTGATTAATCGGTCGAATTCTGTTTATTTCAGTGAGTGTGGAAGTCACACTTATTAAGTACAACAAAAAGGCATATCAGGTTTTAGTGTGATACTTTCAAATCTACAACATAAAATTTAGTTTACAACTTTTTTTCTATTGTTCTTTCTTTTCTTTTTTTCTTTATTTTTAGAAAATAGAACTCGGCTTTAATTGCTAATTCCTATATTTAAAAACTTGAAGTAAATAATCTGAAATTATCTTAAATTCATCGCCCCATGAAAGTTAGAAGTCTGCGTGGAATAGAAACATAAACACTAATACGGAAGGCAAAGCCTATGCCAAGGTGAAATGTCAAACATGATGTATGAATGCAATATTGCCATATAAATATATTCATTTTTCCACTAGTTGTAAGCCTAGTCAGGTTGAACATTGTCAAAGCAATCTCTGAAATATTATTAGTGTTTACGCAAATCTTAACGAATGAATTAATATCTTAAAGTACAGTATTTAAGGTTTAAATTAATTTTCATTGAAGAATGTCTGAATAGATTGCAGTGTCCAAATAAAAATGTGGCAAAATATCCTCACATAGCAATAAAACAATAGTAACGGACCTAAATGGAGTCTAAGTTAGAAATAAATACTATGAACATACTTTTTACATTCAAATGAGAAAAATATATATCAGATGACAATAGATAGGAAAAAATTATATAATCTGCATTCGAATTTTGTATTGTGATCTTCATGTTATTACTATGCCCGTATCAGATTTTCACTGTATATTTTATTATGCTCATATTTCTGTACATAAACATAATTTAAAATTAGCTCTAAGAATACTTAATAAACGAAGAAAAAATATTATGTAAAATAAGTTTTAAGTCGTAGTGTTGACAATAAATGAAAGGGATATACCCAGTGATATGTATACATATTTCGTTTCTTTTATCCATTTGTACCACACTATTTCTATTAGTGTTAAATTTAACAAATGCAAATTTAACAAACAATTTGTTATTAGTAAAAAAAATTAAATCTATATAGAATATTGCCTAGTTTCCTTGTCTTCCACAAATTTTAATTAGAACCTGAGTGAGACCTTACGCTAATATCGTAATTTGTCAATCACCAACCACCGTTCTCTTGTTTTTCAAATTTTGGATTTAAAAAATCAATTTCCACAATGAGTGCAAACCTAAAAGCTCATTAGTTCAGAGCTTTAAAAGGTTAATATTTTGTAATCGTGTAAATATTGTATTTATCAAATATTAATTCAAGATTATATTCATTGCTTTGGGTACTTGGTATGAATAAAACAACAATAAGGAGTTTCAGAAGATTTACTTAACATAATAAATAACCTGCTCAGTTTACAAAAGCGTCATTTTTTTTACATTTTCATCTTTTTTTTTTTTTAATAGAAAATATCTCATTTTCCGATCCAAGATCTCTTTTATTGCCAGTACATACAAATGAACCTCCATACAACAATAATTTTGATTTGTTTACACCATTATTATTACTCTTTTACCTAAATATGATTCCGTGTCACTTAAATAAAGACTAGTCAAAAACAACATTACTATAATTAGAATATTCTTCAATTTTATAATAAAATATATATATGGCTATATAGTAAAAAAAAAAAATATGAATCGTGGATCAAATAGTGCCGATGCAGTGCCTGCGATTTGTTCTTCGCCATTTAAAAAACACAAAAGCGGGAATAAAAAATTTGACTGTAGTCTCGTTATTGAATCTTGTGCTGTTGAGTACAGTTAACAATATCAAATAAAGCTATTTTCTCTATTTTTTTGAATACAACACAAATGCTACGTATAAACAAAATTATCATGAAAGCACTATTTCTTTTTACTGAGAATAAAATCAACTCAACTGCAGAACATCACGATTACAAAGGCCACCCAAAACTCAAAAAAGCGCGAGGAGAGAACTTGGCCCCTTGCGAAACTTCCAAATTCCACACACGTACAATAGAGACACCTCTTATACAAACTGACCAATATCTAAATGATCTGTGTTCACAAAACCGAATAGCTATGTTTTATTCAACTGTACATAAACATGTAGTAAGAGCGAGACAGAGCGATTAGACTGCGGCGAGAAAGAGAAGACAATACTCTCTTCTCGCACGAACTGGAGAGGCGTACTTAAGTTTAGCGCTGCCTGTGATATTTTATTCACACAATCGTACCTTTCACGATAACAATTACTGCTCTGTTAAAGGATTACTACTTAAGACATCTACAAAATGAGAAATCAATTTCCAGTACGCCGTGATTTAAAATAAACAAAAATTCATCCAACGCCTTGCGCTATGGAAGCAAATAAAACTCAAATCACTAAGGATTACACATTTTTCGCATGCATAAAGCATCCCATAGCGTACATAAACGGGCCCAATAAACAGAAATAATAAAAAAGAAAACGACTTATTCTGGTAGTGTACAACCAAAACACGAGATACATTTCCACTCTCCCCTATTATTAAATAATTAGGTATAGCAAATAGGTTTTTACTGATTTGGTCAAAACAAAAAGAAACAATTCACAAGCTAATAAGCAATAATATATGGATAATTATGTTTTAAAAATATACATTTTAACGGCCTGCAAGATAGCTGCGTTCTATGTAACACTATGTTGATACCAGTAAAATGTTTTTGGCTAAACGAAGTGCTACGAACATAACTTTTTTAACGATAGACAAGTTAATAGACATTTAGACATGGATATCTATTTAATTGCTCTTCAAATTAAGTAAGTCAAATTCGGGTCAAAATATTCGCTGGCGGAGCGGCAACGAGTTTATCACCTGTCACCACAGTTGTCTATCTCCATTTAAGCTGGTCCGAGTGATTCTAGACGTATATCGATAATCGCTGCCTACTTTATATATCACAAAAGCAAGTTGATAACCCTTAGTATAATTTTTCACACTCTTCTTATATTTAAAGAACTTCTTTTGTCACAGATATAGCCCATTAAAAATATATAAGGGCTTATATTTATAAGTATTCACTTTTAGAAAATTATTTAACCAAAAGTTTAAAATCCTATCACTACCAGAAATCTTTCCAGCAATACCTCCTGTATTTAAGTTAAGAATATTGCAATCTTGTGAAAACCTTAATCATCATATTTCTTATATTTATTCTGTGATTAATAAAGTATCTGATATACGATAAACACTATCTTTTAATGGCTTAATTATACATATTGTCCAATAATCAATTTCTCAGTACACCCTAAAACAACAGGTTATTCAATTGACCATAATGATGATATTGGTGCAGTCAGCATACAAATCACTTATACTTCACCCCCCAATTATTATAACTACATACTTCCTAATTACAAAAAGAAATTTTAACATATTTCAATTTACACAACTTTACTCTATTGCATTATGTTTCATAGAGAAAAATAAATGTGACATTTTATCACAATTGCGCTAATATCAAGTTGTTCTTAAAATTCTCAATTTTATAATATTCACATTAAAATTGTAACAGACAAAGAGAAACTTCAAAAACCAAATTCCGACATGGAAATCTATTCGACCGCAACTTGGAACTTGAAAATGGACTTGTCGGACATTATGTGACATTTGCTTGAGACATGACGAAATTAAACCACAATCGTAACGACTGCACCATACATAAACACATCCAGACAATTATATAACAAGTGATAACCCCTATAGTATTTACGTTTATTGACACATTGTATACTTAGATTTATTTGATTATTTTTATACATTAACCCCACAAAATGTGCACAGCCAAACAGTTACATGAAAAACTTTCCAAATGACTCTAATATGAGGCGATCACATATTCTTTGACTGATAGAAAAATGTAGTTGAATTAACAGAGTTAATTGATTTTACACACACCATTTGTTGTAACTTCAGTAATGATATAAGCAAATCGAAAATTCTTTATCAGCACACATAAAACATACACACTTAACAATAAATAAGTAAACTTGGCTCACACCAAAGGATAACTACCGTTGACATTTAAGTGAAAACATTTCTCAACATATTTAAATGAACTGGGTACGTTGTGTTTCTAGAAAATTATATTTTAAAAAACCTACAAGAGTACTGGAAGGAGGAGTTAAGAGGAACCATTCAAACATTACTTGAACAAAAATGAATAAGTAGATTACATGTGATAACTAATTTTACTTCAAACTAAACATACCAAAATTATAACAGGAGTATATAGACAGACATAGACTATATTGAAAAAAAAAAACAGAAACTACAACTTTAAAGGACCATGTAAACGCTTACAATAATTAATCATATCTTATATAGAACATATAGAGTATATAAGCTTAAAGTTCGAGCTACGCTTGGAAATATGTGACACCCATTTGAAAGCATAAGTTACCTCCCGCTATAGTGTTTAGTCTGATACCACTCGCACAACTTGATCCTCACCAGTCAGGCTTCCGTTGGTATGCTCTCCTGCGGCGCAACTGTTTCACTCTCCTGCGTCTCCTTCCCAACTCTGCTCTCCTCCGTCTCTTTCTGCCCGCTATCTGCCGGCTTGGAGTCAGTCGATATGGAACTGGAGGTGAGACTGTTTGGCTGTGATGACTCCTTGCTCTGCGGCTCTTGCGATGTTCTACTCTCCTGCGACTTCTCTTTCGACGCGTCTGCGATGGGGACAGTTGGAAAAGTTGAAACTTTTTTATGTAAGAAGATAGCAAACGAGGTGCTCCCATTATGTTAAGTGATAACCGCCGCCAAAGGATATTTGCAACAGTGGTAGGGTGACAGAAGCGTTGCCAACTATTAATATAGTGAGCCCTGGTTACCTCTCCACTCACCCAACGAAGTGCAATAGTATAAAACTCTCCTTTCACTCCGGCTTCTGCAAGGTTGTGGTACTTTACCGGATGGGCCTGCCCATTCGTGCAACAGCGAAGACTGTTGGGACGTGGCCCTACCACAGTTATGAATTTGTAAGGTAGGCTTTTTTTTTTTTAATGCTTGTTATGAGTAATAACATCTAGAGATTCACTTTGGACTTTATATTTAAATTCTGATAATAAATGAACAACTATATAGTTACATTTATATACAAATTAACTAAATGTAATAATAGTAACTGTCTAAAGTACAATACATTTCTAATCGTATCATATAGAAACTTCTAACAAAAATAACATACTAAATAACAGTCCAATCTACCTATTTAAATGAGGTAGGCAGACATTGCTAGTTGCCGAATTATTAATACAAAACCCATTCTAACATAAAGCAAACAAATTTTCACACTAATCTGCAAAAATAGAAGGCAAGTACGAACATTAAAACAAAATCAAACTTAAAATTGGTGCTTCTTCTTGTTGTGTTAAAAACTTGGTTATATTTGTTATGGCATTCCTCTGTCTTCTAAAGCAACAAATCTCCTAATGCAAACGTGAATTTAACCACAGGCGCATTTTGTAAGCGTACTGCAACTTCGCCCATAGCAAGTCTTGGAATAAATAGATTCATATTAATACTTCAACGAATTACATCTGTGCATTATTATTTTTTATTTATTTCTAGGTATTGCTCAAAGTTAAGTAATGAAACTTAGGTCTGAGGTCAGTCCTAAACGTGAGGGAATGAAAATCACCTCTAAAACCTCGAAAGTTCCGATTGGACATATGTTATACATGATTTTTTTTAAAGAGTGGAAACAATAATAAAACAGAATACTTCATATCAAATTCAAATCAAAAAAAATTTTCAAAATCACAAACAAAAACATCCGGAAAGGACAAAGGAAACTGGATCATATGCAGTAATCATGACTAAAATTCATGCAAAATATTAAGGCCGTATTATTATTAATGAAAGCAATATTTCCCTTATGCACTACATACCGGCTCCTTGCGCAGGCCAAGGCTTCCTTACAAACATGTTCTCGACGATTCTATCTATATTGTCCTTCTCTGTTGAATTAGCTGGCCTGCAAACATCAAGAGAGGTGATTAGTTTAAAGTTATTACATGTAAGAAAGAAAGAAAGTTACATTTATTTGTTAGAAAATAGTACAATATAGGTCTTAAAAGCTGTGGATCCTTTATGTTCTACCATTTCTGGTGTACAAATATTTCATTTTACATTATAAACATGCAAAAAAAAAAACAAAGCAAAAGTAAATATAATCCACGAAAACTGTTTTTATAAAATTTTATCATTTAAATAATCCCCTGTGGAATAATAACATTTACTTATCAAAAAGTAAAGCAGATTTCGCTTAAACAATTTTAAATTCAAAGTTTTTAATCTATTTGGTAGTTTATTATACAGCATGATGATACCATCGCGACAATAAATGAACACACGTCTAACGCTACTTGCCAATAATCATAAAAAAATATTAAAGTTAAACAAAATCCATAATAAAAAAAATATATTTTTCAAACAAACTAATTAAGTAAAAAAGAAACAAAATTTGTAACATCCTATACAACTCGCGCCACAACGTTGTATTACAAGCCTCTCCATCTAACAGTATGTTTTGTCTCTTTTAAATTCATTCAACCCATTCATATGCTTTGTGACCTTTACAAATGAACTTTACGTTACAGTTTTATAGATTAGGGTTTTCTAAAATTCTTTGTTTTGGAAAATTTTATAACTCTGTAAATATTGATGTTTAATGAATATAAATGTTTAATACAATTTTAAAAAGTTATCCCCTATATGTGTGTTCATTTATTGTCGCGATTGTAAAGACACTGGCTATCGTATAACAGACATAGAAGCAAATTAACAGATCAAGAATAGTTGTCGTATCACTATTAGAATACCTATTTTACAAAGAGCATATAAATATATACCTACAGTATATTGCGAAATGTAAAAGCATATGCACCATAGTACACTTAGCATACCTGTCATATTAATTAGTATTGTATATTACAATTGTACCACCTACTTAGTGTAAGTTCCTTTTCGCCATTGGTTGCCCGGAAAAGATTGAAGCGACTATAAAGCGATAAGGCTGCAAAATTGTGCATTCCATAAATTTGTTTTTCTATTGTTAATTTTGTGTATCTTTTCTATTTGTAGTGGACAATAAAAGTATTCATTCATCCATTTATCCATCAATTTAACTTAGTAATGCCATAAATTAACCAGCAAGTGAGTAATAGTAACAAAATGAGACAATGTTTTATACATGATATGTATAAAAAAATATATACGGTCGAATTGAGAAAACTCCTCCTTGAAGTTGATTAAAAAAGGAGAAAAGCTACAACGGTAAAACTCATGCTCTTCTGTATCCATTAATTTGAAATAATCAAATTTCACTAAAGTAAAAAGTGACTTGTACGTGTGGCGTGGTCCCAACTCCTACCACATTTAGCCATTTTGTTCGTTTATTTTTATTTATTTATGTAGGCTTACCAACTAAATACATACAGAACATTGAAATGTAAATATGTCTAACTTAACACTTAAAGTCATAAACAACATATGTACATATTTAAATTACAGGTAAACACAACACTTACAAAACAAACTTGAAATATAGAACAGGAACCCGGCTAAAAAAATAAAATTCTTTTATCTCTGAGAAAAAAAAAAACGAAGTTATGATTCGTTGTGGCAGCAAGTTTTCCCTTGCCAGACATCAGCCACCGGCGCACCTTTCAGAGTTGTGGGCGGGCTGTGCGGGCCGCACGATGGGTATCGCCGCGGTTGGGCGCCTCTGGGCGCGCGGCTGCGGCGGCGGCGGCTCCTGCTCCGCGCAGTTGTAGTACGTCACGCCGCCGGCCTGCGTCGCCTGCGAACCGACACGAGTATGCTAATGTGGATGCTATTACTAGGCATGCTAATGTGGATGCTATCACTAGGCATGCTACTGTGGGTCCGAGACTACAATTGATCTTCCAGGTCGCTCGTAGGGACTTGCTATCAAACTCCTTCCACAATAATCATAATCATACTGTGGGTGCCATAACTAGGTATGCTAACTGTTGGTGCGAGACTACAATAATCTCCCAGGTCGCTCGTAGGGACTTGCTATCAAACCCCTTCCACAATAATCACAATCATACTGTGGGTGCCATAACTAGGCATGCTAACTGTGGGTGCGAGACTACAATAATCTCCCAGATTGCTTGTAGGGACTTTCTATCAAACCACTTCCTCATAATCATACTGCGGGTGATATGTAATGAGTATGCTCCTGTGGGTGCCGTTACATGAGTATGCTACTGTGGGTGCAAGACTACAATAGATGTTCTAGCCCGCTCGTAGGGACTTTCTATCCAACCACTTCCTCACAAATCATAATCATACTGCGGGTGATATAAGATGAGTATGCTACTGGATGGATGGGTCATGGCCCGTACAATTGGAAAGCATTAAATACGCTTACGTAGTTATGGTGCTGGTACATCTGGTGGGGATATGCGGCTGGGGCCTGGGCGTACATGGGCGCCCCTCCGAACACAGCTCCGCTGCCGCTCTGCTGTAATAGTATTCTATCATTATACATTTAACATTTTCATATGGATATAAACATATATTATTGTTATGTATATTGTATTCGCATATGTAAATATTCACCGCGGTACTTATTCGAACGAGAAGGTCCGTCCGAGTGACTACCTCACAGAAGACCGGCGTGAATGGTCGGCTACCTCACTCACCAGAAGAAAAGTAAACGTATACCTACACTTAAAGCCGGATATCTACTGGCTTCCCGGGAAAAACCTACCAATTCGGCCCGCAACAAAACCTGCAAGCATGGCTCTACCACAGTTAATGTAATGGACCGTTGGTTAAAGTAGATACTTTTTAATAATCTTTACGAGGAATACAGTCCATTCAACAAGGTTCCTATGATGTTATTCTGTTTAAAATATACCATACCTGCATATATTGAGCTGGCATCATGGCGGGCGGTGCATAGCCTTGTGTCGGTTGCAGTTGGCCTGAACATTTAAGTATATTAGAATTCGTAAGGTATTAAGCAATGTCAAGAATAACAAACAAATAAATATTTGATTTTTCTGTAAAAATCATTTTTTCCTTTGCTTCATTAAAAAAAAAATAGATTACAAAATTTACGCAGTTTCCTGTGGTGGGGACCTATATCATACTTATTAAAAAGATCACTATGTACATAAAACTCTCCACATATGTAAATACAATATTCCTGCTCTATAATTCATCTAAGAAATACAATGTGAAAATTTTCCCATTGTCAATGCGCAAGCATAAATCTATTTATTTATTTAAAAACTTCATGGCCAAAACACTACATACGGACTTAAATACTGACAGCACCAGTTTTCCACCAGTCAACCTTAGGGTGGTACTGAGAAGTTGGGGTAGGTGCAAAAGCTATAAAAAAATTCTTCTAATTAAACATAAAAATAGAAATTCATCTATTCACTTCGTAGGTAATTTAAAGCATAGTTCCGTAGTTTATATTTCAACTCACCGATGGGGTGTTGTGGCGGTATATTGTGCATAGAGTGGTGGGGATGGGACACCATTTGTGGCGGTTGCTCCATCATACCGAGGCGGACCTGAAAGTTGTTACAACATTTTAACAAAACAAACACATGTATAGTAAGTTAGAATAAACTACAGTCTATGCCACGCATTAACGTATGTGTGTAATTATACAGGGAGATTTTTTGAGAAGTGCCCAAATTTACACAGGAGGTACAGTATCGGTAGCATAATCGTTTATTGAAATAAAAAACGAAGTTTTTTTTTTCCAAGAAAAAATGGCATTCTATTCCCTAAAAAACAGAACGTGTTGACAATGCGGTAGTCATTCATAAATACCTAAATTTTACTGTGCACGAACTTGTGTGCGTGTTAGTTATGAATGATCGCGCGTAAAATAAATGAGTTGCGTATAAATCACGCACTTTTTGAGAAAGTTCAAATGAATGTAATTAATTAATTACGAGTGATTTTAAATATTTATCATTTTTTTATAACCTTATTTGTCTAGAATTTAATAAAAAAATGGATACACTTAGAAAAGCCACCCTGTATACGCACGTCAGTTATACTTCTTTGTTGTAACTAATAAAGTTAAATATGGCATAACATCAGAACTTGGTCAACGAAGTTCAATAATGTCTCAAGTTGGTGGATAAACATCTTTTAGTGATGGGACAAATATCAATAATGCGTCCACAAACATCATGGCGTTTATTTCATATCAGTGTTTTCAAAACTTGTAAGCGAGAAAAAGTGTTTGGCAACAGCGCTGCACTGAACCCCGAGGAATAACTTAAAAAAAAAAACTGAATCTAACAGTGCATCAACCACTGATCATATTTTTTATGACTATGGGAAGGGAATTGGCTGTTCACCTGATGTTCACCTTTTATTAAAGTGAGTCCCGATTACCTCACTCACCAGACGAATCTCAGAAGTATAACACTTCCACTTCACGCCGGTCTTCTCTGAGATTGTGGTACTTCTCCGGACAGACCTGCTCATTCGTACAACAGCGAAGACCGTTGCGTAGTCCAACCACAGTAGGCGTGGCGTTGCGTGGCCCTATTACGGTTGAAAATAAATAATGTTGTGTGTATTCGAAAATTTAAACCTGCTGAGAGTGCTGCTGCGGCAGGGATTGGTGCTGGTGGGGGGGCGACGGCCCGTGTTGGGCGGCGCCACCGCTTCTATGCACCTGCTGCAATAGAAGAATGGTCTTTAATCCTAGATGGTCGCTGGGCTGAAAAATAATCATTTTTATTAAGAAGAAAACTAAGGAATAAAGTTATCTGTATTTTCTTTAAGAAAGTTTTTCATTTATATGAGAAGGTAGCAATTGAGCATACCTGATGTTAAGTGATAACAGCCGCTATCGTCACTCTGGCTTTCGTAAAGAAAATACTATAACCTTTAGACTATATAGTGCATGCCCCTAAGGTTTGAGGCTTATCAAAACTATGCTTAAACGTATGCTAAATCATTCCATTAACCCAGTAATGTCCAAAGTAGTTTGAACTTTGATGAAGTTGTTAGTATTTTGTTTTGTTTTCCCTACCTGATGAATAAGTTGCTGCGGATGAATCTGTGGGACCGGACTGCCTTGGTGCTGCGGTTGTGAAGGTGCATTGCCGGGGTATTCTGTAATAAATATTTTAATAGAAAAATATTCATTTTCTGACCAGTTTCAATATAGTTGAAAGAATTTTGTTTACAATTAATAAATATTTACATCATCTATACAGAAGAGACAGGTAGGAAAGAAATCAAATTGAGACAATAATAACAACAAACTATTTAGAAATAGTATATTGAAATCAATGCTTTTAAAAAATAAACTTCATTCTAGAATTCAGAAACATCAAAAACTTTTAATGATGATATAATCCCCAAGGTAGAAAAATTGAGAACCAAACCTCCGTGATATCTGTGCTGCGGCTGTTGTTGAGTCTGCTGCTGTGATTGTTGTGGCTGCGTCTGTTGTTGTGGTTGTTGTGGCTGCGGCGGCTGTTGTTGTTGTTGTTGTTGTTGTTGTTGTTGCGTTGGTGGTTGTGGCTGTTGCGGCTGCTGTTGTGGCTGCTGAGGCGAGTACGTCTCGGCGAGAGGTCTCTGACGCAGGCTGCTGTAGCGCTTGCTGCCTCCGGACTTGGCTTCTGCACCTGAACCAATGTCAATAAGATAGTTTCTAGAGTATGGATAATAAAGGCGCAGGGGAGGAACAGCATGTCTGAGTCTTTTGTATGGCACCAACAATATACTTTAATAAGATACCAAGCAATGTAAATGACTTGAGCATTTGCATTATGAAAAGAAATTGAAGCTAATAATTAATGAAAAGAATTTCTTAAGGGCAACTTTGATGAATGTTAAATAATTAATAATGTCCCATACTTGTCCCGTGTGGAAATCGATCCCACGACCCCTGGTCAATAGCTTAGCACCACATAGTCAACTATTTTATTACCCGAAATATATAACTAACCCGAAATATATATATAACTAAAATAAATACTATTCATTAAATCATTTATTTAATCTTTAAAGAAATTTTTACCGGCTATATACACTGCATACAAGGAAGTTAATTTCGCTTGTTTATAATATTAGTGTAGATGACTCCGTGGCGCAGTTGCCAAGATTGGCTTAGGCGCCTGGGTTCATGGTTTCGATTCCCACACGAGAAAACTAGTTGTTCGAACCACAGATAGTTGTTTCAGATTTGGGCGTACATCCGCATGACATGTATGAATAACGTCTATTCAGGACAGTGTTAACCTACAGTAAGGAGGCAATGTTTTCGAACGGAAGACTACAATAGATCATCTAGGTTACAGTGTTCATTGAGACTTACTACCTAACTGCTTCCAGACAAAATATAAATAAATTTTATTTTACTTGGTATTTTATAAGTAAAGTTTGAAAGTGCTCACCGGTTTGTTGTTGTTGCTGATTTTGTTGCTGCTGCGGCTTCTGTTGTTGCTGCGCCTGTTGTTGTTGGCCGGAAGGTTTAGTCGTCAACGCACTGCCCTGCTGCGGGGTCTGTTGGTTCGACAACATTCTATTCATACGATATAATCTGCTGCGTTCGACGCCAATATACACTCGTACGATATTAAAGTCATGCAAATACTCTGAGGCAAGTGTTAGGGTACCAACAAAGGGCAACCAGTACTACCACAAAATAGACAAGGCTTTGTTGACTGGAGAATATGCTCAATGAAATATTTTTCTTTTTTTTGTAGAAAAGTTATCTAAAAATTTCCTTAATTCCGCAGCATTAAAGAGTTTCGACCTTTCAAGTTTCGTCTTGTAATGCAGAAAATAGTAATAACAAAAATTTTAATCATATATCACTCGATAAAATCGCCAATTAATTGATCTATCTATAATGGTATTGGTTATACCATTCAGTATCCTCGCTTGAGTGGTTTGATTTAAAAAAAAAAACAAAAATTACCTCATTTTCAAAAAAATGTTGCTGATGTGTTGTCAACCCTCAAAAGGGAACGACCCTTATGTGTTATAAAACTGCCACAAAGTTGAATATTTACATGGAGAAACCATTTAAAAAACTCGAAAAACAAAAACAACTAACAAGTATCTAGAATTAAATAATCAAAAGGAAACTGTTTACATTTTTGAAAAGGGTCATCTCATGTGCTGTTTCTATGGAACATTTTTCTGCATACTATTTAAATTTTTTCACAATATCGCGTCCGATTTTAATTACTGTCATGTTACAACACTATAGTAATAGTCGCGAAATTAAGACAATTCCAGTAAAGTAATGATCATCAGAAACGGCCCACGCGTTCGCTATTTAAAGCGTATATAAATGCGTAGTCCGATAAACACATTATCCGCCCTTGGGTGGCGCGGTTGGTTAAAGTGTCTGATCCACTATATCAAAGTATAAATGGGGCTGTTAAGGGCGTCGAGGTGAGTTGTGCAGGGGTGCCCACCTGCGCGGGCGGCTTCTTCTTCGCCTGCTCGGTGGGGACGGGCCGCTGCTGAGCCACGGCCGCGCTCACGCGTCGCTGCGGCTGCCCTGACACCTCGCTGCATGTGGAGCAATAGCAATAGCATGAGAAAAACAAAAACGCCATGTACCGTCGAGAGTAGAGCGGAGCTATGTGTAATGTGATATGTGAAATTTAAAATAGATAAAATTTCTAAAATAAAAATTGCGTAAATTACTTCTTATTACACCAGCTATCTGTCAGTGAAAGTCCGTCGTCAAAATCAGCCCAGCCGTTAGAGAGATTAGCCGGAACAAACAGACAAAAAAATATAAAAAAAAATATTTGGTATATGCACCATGTATGCATCCATTCAGTAAAAAGCCGTTGTTTTAATATTACCAACAGACACTCCAATTATATTTATCTGTATAGATGTAGATGTATAGATATTGACAAAATCGTATAATGACACCGCTCGCTATTGTACATTGACGTATTTATTTATATAAAATTTTTATGCACAAAAAAAATTCTTTATACCAAGGCAAGACTTAATGCTAAAGGGCATTTTCAGTGAACCTAATGGGTGATTTGTATTGTGGATAATTAATATATACCACTATGTGCCCACGCGTTAAAACTATGACTTGGAATAGTATTACCGAAGCTAATTTTATGACCTAAATATGACTGTTTCGGATATGGATGTATTTTTAAAAATATTGATATGACACAGCATAATGTTAATTGCAATATAAATACAGCAATAATCATGTTATTAAAAAAATCCTTTTTTCAATATACATTTTTTGGAAGAGACATCTGCAGACAAACACAAAATTCATTTGAGGTTTAACAGCGTTCACAACGCATATGGGATTGCAGATGCCAACCTTACAAAAATGCGGGGCGTAGTTACTTCACTCACCGGACAAAGTGGAAAATCCTTTCACTTTACATCTTTTGCAACATATAAATAATTCAAGTGGATCTGGTGGGTTTCTATCCAGCACAGACCAAAAATTGACTTGCTTGCATTACACATACATACAAAGGATGTCAAACAAAATGGGCATGATTTTTTAAATTCCATCCTTGCCAACTCTATTATATATAGTAGCCCGGCAATTACCTATTGCTGGTGACGTTGGCGGTGATGGTGAGATTTCCAGCTGCGGCAGCTTATCCTTGGCTGGCGGCTTGGCGGCGGGCTTGGGCGCGGCGTTCTGCTTGGCAACTGGCTTGGCAACGGGCTTGGGCTTGGTGCTGGTGTTGGTGCCGGTGTTCTTGGCGGAGGCGCGCAGCTCGCCCCCCCTGCGCATCTGGTAGCCCCTCTCCGAGGAGTCGTTCGACGCCGGCTGCGACTTGGAACGGGGCCGGGGCGCCCTGCTCTTCTTGCTGGAAGTTAGAACGGGCCGGTTAGAATTGAATAAATAACTAGTTCAGGAGATATCTACAGCACAACGTTTTCCAGTCCCGAAGAAAGCAATGCTTGTACTATGAATGTAGTAATTGATGAACATAAATTTTTTTGCAAATAAATACATATATAAACACCGAGACACTATGTTAATCACACAATAATTTTACAGTAGCGGGGATCGAACCCACACCCTCTGGCGCCGCTGACAGGTTCGCTACTAACTACGCCGATCGAGTAGTCTAATTTGTTCGAGAAACCGTGATTATTCTTGAAGTTTGTTGAAAATATGGACGAAAAGTTTTTCGCCAAAGCGGAAATCGAACCCGCGTTGTACGGAATCGCGCCCAAATGCTTTAACCACTAAGCTAATCGGCTGATCGTCACTCCGACGAACATGCCAGCGCAGCTGTATCTGCACTTAAGTAAGAATGGTTATGTCTCTATTATGTCATGTAAAATATTAAATTACATTTCTATAGATTCAGCAATTCTGGTTTTACTAATGGTGGTCTAACCACCAGCCAATTGAGTCCATAGACCTTATGGACCAGTTGCGAATTTTGGCTCAGAATGTTTACGAGTCTGACCAGAACAATAACACGGAGAACTTCAACACTTTAGACACCACAAGTTACTCTACGTTTTGTGCACCAGTCTAGCCGAATCTCTGTCCTCTTAGGAGCTCTATCGCATGAGAGCTCCGAGGCGATAGGAAAACCAGAGTAGCGAGGCCCCCAACCACCCGAGTCTCCGATGGTCATCGAGCTCTGGGAATTACTCCAGTTTGAGGATTACCGTTTTAGCAGAAAACCAGCGTAGCGAGGTCCTCACCCACCCGAGTTTCCGATGGGCGTCGAGCTCTGGGAATTCCTACAGGTTGAGGATTACCGTTTTAGCAGAAAACCAGCGTAGCGAGGTCCTCACCCACCCGAGTTTCCGATGGGCGTCGAGCTCTGGGAATTCCTCCGGATTGGGCGGTCTACGATGTGGCGCGGCGGCGGCTTGACGCCTGTATGCTTCTTCATCCTCCCAGGTGCGAGTGTACTTGTTGGGACCGCGACTGTAACACGATAGGAAACAAAATTTAATTTTTTTTTAATCAAATAAACCATGTAAGCAAGTGAATCCTTCATTCTAATAATTACACAATAAAAAAAAAGCCAAACATGCATTCATAACATACAATTCATTATTACCTTTCTCAATAATACATTTAAATCTGAGTGAATAAAAACAGAGATTTGAGAACAAAATTTAAAAGTATTACAATATTTGCAAAGTGTACAGGGCATGCAATATTAAACAAACATTGTAGATACATTGAAAAATATAAAAAATGTTAACAAAACAAAAAATAAAATACAGACAGTTATCATTAGTAAAACAATGCTAAGTCAGAAACAAGTTATAGTAATTCTGTTTCTATGAAAGCCATGCAAGTGAGCAAACGCATAGTATTGTCTCTTCACTAACCGACAGTGTCGAAATCTCCATATTGAGAGGCAGAAGTGAATATTGAAAATTTTAATTCCATTTTATTTCGATTTACGTATATTAAAACATAATTATTCAAATATAATAAATGAGCACACTGTGGAACAAATTCAGGAACACCCTTCATACAGAAAGATGGATAGACATTATGGATCTCCTTTGTATGTCAACCATCCACGTACTTGTAATATCAAAACAATAAAAACTTTCAACTTGTAATATAAGAATATTAACTTTAAAAACTGACATGTAAAAGGTATATAGAGGATTAGTACTATTTACTTATCACTGCTTTAAGTGGTATGTATTAAATGACCTATGTCCCAATCAAAGCACCCCGCCTTGAAGGCGATAGCCCCAATGTAAAATGTGTGCCGCACCAAATTTAGTCCAACATGGAAATCCTGACTATAGCGCCAATGTTAGTCTGATTTGCAATTAAATACCAGGATAAAATATATGGAATATACCAAAACATACCCGTATCTCCTGTTCCTTCTCGCGTGGGGCGGTGCATCCTCGTTTCTTATGTCGTACCCATATATCGCCACCAACTCGTCGCGAGATTTCGGCATCTGTACAAATAATATATTTTAAAATAGTATACGACATAGGTAAAATAAAAATTTTTCAAACATTCACTTTACATTTCCCTCGAGAGCATTCTGCGGGACTCTAACCTTTTGTTGTTGGCATCCACTCCTACTGTGATTGGAACAGTTTGACAGCATTAGTTCTCCCGTCCTATTATGTTTTTTTTTTCTCTTTTTGGGCTGGATGTGACACAGGGTTGGCCTTAGGGGCCTTTACAGATCCGCCGGTCTCGAGGTGGCCTGAACCTCGGCGTATTATTATTACGCGTTATGGTGACTAAGCTCGAGGGCTCCCGAGGGTGCCTCGGCTAGGGCCGTCACGCTTTTATTATCACCGGTTCGGGAGGCCGCCAAGCTCTTAGGGCGCTTTGGCGGGCGCTCCATAGAGTGATGAGGCTCAAGGGTCCCCGAGAGGGGACCTCGGCTTGGGCTGCCACTCAACACGCATCTAGCATTCCAATTCGGTAGCTAATATCTGACTGGTATAATATGTGTGTTCAAGGTGGTGAATAGGCTTCTGTCGAGCTGGTCTGACCATCTATGTCTACATCTTACTTAACATCCTTGCTTTGATGACTCCGTGTCGCTGCTGACAAGGTGTTATTGGCTTCGGCACCGGAGGTCATGGATTCGATTCCCAAACTAGACAACGGTTTGTAGGTCACAGATAGTGAACTGGTGAAATTCATTTATGTCAAACGTGCATACAAAACAGGATAATGTTATGCTGCAGTAAGAGGCCCTATCCTACAGTTTTCGTAGGGAAGTCTACAGTAGATCTTTTTTTTTTTAACTAATAATAAATAAATAAAATATAGTACAAGCGTTGCTTAGTTTGGGACTAGAAATCGTGTGTGTGAAAATGTGTCCTAAAATATTCCGTCAACTAGAGGGGGTTTTGGTCATGAAAAGGCAATATTCGCTACGCTCGTTATACCTGCTCGTTCTCGTTGTACTTGTCGTGTGACCAACGGTTGACCGTCTCCGACTTGCGCGGGGGCCTTCGCCGCTCCGAGGGCGTCTCGGAGCCGTCCTTCTTCTCGGAGGCCACGTCGGATGTCGTGTTGACGGACTCCTCCCCGCTGGCGGGAGAAAAACGGGTTACGACGGTTCGTCTGTTGCTTATTTCACTAAAACTTTTGTGTAATAGTTTTGTGGTATTCGCATATATGCGCAACCCAGTTACGCATCCGGCTGTTTTATGTGACAGTTTGTTTGTTGCTTATTTCATTCAATAACACACTTGCAAAAATTGTGTGGCATTCACGCAACAGTGTTCACTGTTGCACGATTGGGCAGGTCCCTCCGGGTTAGTACCACGACCTCACAAAAGACCGGCGTAAAGTAGAAGTGTTACTAAGTACAGTTCTGCGTTTCGTCTGCTGAGTAAGGTAGCCGGGGCCCATATTATTAAAAGGCGGCAACACATTTGCAACCGGTGTTGCAAAAGTCCGTGTGCGGCGGTTATCACTTAACATCAGGTGAACCCACGATCCCACAGAAGACAGGCTTAAATTAGAAGTGTCACGCTTCTGCATTTTATTTAAAGGTGGCAAACTTTTCACGTAAAAAGTTAAAGTTATAGTTTTTTAAATGCGAGATTTATTAAACACCAATTAACGCTTAGCCATCGTTAAATTCGTTTATAGCGTCATCTAACCTTAAGTAATGAATTAAGCATACGAAATAATTTAATGTACCATTTATGTTTATATGAAAAATTTATGTATAAATGCTTATATTCTCCAACGTTATCTGTAAGTGTGATGGTATTTACTATACTAATTTAAAAAAAAAGATAGTGTCTAGTGTAAAAGTGCTATCGTTTTTCCAAATAAAGTAATCTTAATTTAAAAAATGCTATATAATATATCGACGTATGAAATTGGAGGCACTGGCATAATTTCGCGCGCCAATTTCACGAGAATTACGCAAGTATGGAAATAATGATAACAATGTTTTCCTTCCTCGCGCCCGATTACACGTGAGGCAACAGGGTAGTCTTAGGTAGCTCAGTGGTTAGACCGTTCGTCTTTCAATTTCCGATTCGATCTCTTGTGAAGCAGTGAAGTGTGAGAACTCTCATTCAAAGTCAAAATTTCTTTATTCAATACTGTTTATTTAATGTTTGTTTCGCCATCGCATTAGAAACCTCTAAAATTATCAGTGTTTCTCTACGGTATTATGCATGCATTATGCATATAAAAATTCCTCTTGAATCACTCTATCTACTAAAGAAAACCGCATCAAAATCCTTTACGTAGTTTTAAAGATCTAAGCATAAGTAAGAGGGACAGACAGACAGCGGGACGACTTTATTACTTTATTTACTATACTATGTAGTGATAGGCTTATTTTAAGCTCTTATTGAACGTCAAAAACTGCCACCGGTTCACTAAACCGGACCTGTCTAGGGAAGAACCGGCAAGAAACTCTGCGGTCTTATTTTTTTTAATTTATAAGTATACAAAATTATTCAAGTATAAAATTAGCAGCAGCCAGGGGACTTGCGGGTGACAATTCCTTTGCCCAGCACGGGAGCATATGTAGGCTGTTACTTTACTTTACAAGAATTGAACCTATGTCCCGCATCATTTGGTATTTGAGCCAACCGATCTATAATAGTGTCCGGAGTAGTAATCGAATCAACAGTCCGTGAAGCCTTCTTACTCAATACGCGCGTAACGGAGTTCGAAAGTTGCCTTTAACGCACCAGTGTCAGGCGCATCCCTACACGAACTAATTCGAATCGAATCTAGGGAAGAAGCCGACGTACTGAAGTAAAGAATCAAGGGGAGAAATCATGGAAGTCGCAAAGAACTTCTTTGCACTTAACTTTTGACAGGTGACATCCACAAATAATTAAGTGTAAACAATTTCAAACATTCTGTCAAAGCTACCCTAATGGTCTATTATATCGTCTAATGACTCTTGCTCTGCACTTGCTGATTTTATATTTAAATAATTTTGTAAACTTAAATATTTAAAAAAAAATAAGAGAATAACAGCGGTTCTCCTATGGACAGGTCAAGTTTAGAACCGTTGTAATTTTTTTGACTTTCAATAAGAGCTTAAAATGTATCCTATATCGGATATTGAAATTTTGACTTTGACTTGATTCGATCCGGAATAATAAACGGCAGTCACAGATACTTGGGCCGTGTGGAAAACGAAGGCCGATAATAACAACTGCCCCATGTCGTCATACCTTTCCTATCGCTTTCAAGCTTGTAACGGCAGTTACTAGACTCCATAGACAGGTAACTCGTTCATGGGACGGTGTATACGCTTCTACAACAAAATCCCAGTTAATGTGCAAAGCCTATCTATTAACAGGTTTAAGACATTTATTAAAGAAAAACTTTTTAAAAAGGGTTATTATAATATAAATTAATATATTAACGATAATACCTCCTGGGAATGAGATGATCGCTCCTAAGCTGTTTCTAACAAAAAAAATATGCACTGTATGAATATCTACTATGTGCAATGTATTTGTTTGAGAAAAAAAAAATTACCAAAAAGAGGATACCTACGGAATTTCTTTCGTCTGTTTCTTCTCCGTTAGAGGAACCTCATTACGAAACGGTGTAGATTTAAAAAATGACTATCTTTCGTCTGAATAAATGATTTGATTTGATTTTGACTATCGCCAATAATAATTATCGAGAACCGAATAACATTTTCTAGCGCACCGTCATAATCAACTCATTATTGTAAACATTTCCCCTATAGGTCGAGATAATTTGTGTGGCAGAAGTGGCTTACGACGACAAGTTATTCAAGGACAAACGGCGAGATACGGAAAGATTATCTGTAGGCCAAACAAATATTCGTCCCTCCTGGGAAACGAACACACGACTTTACCAACGGCGTAATATATTGACTACTGCATCTACTGAGCCAATGGACACGTATTAATTCATTATGTGCAATCTTGTTATTCTTGAAGACCTAATTGCTCGAATAAAATCACTTAATGCCTGTCAATTACTGTTAATTGACGTTTCCGAGTGCATAAGTATACAGATAAATTGTTACACAATGGTGTTGTTGATGAGATGCAGGGAGACATTTATTATCTCAACGACTGGAAAATGATATTTTATGCAGAATGGAAAACCCCGCAATAAATGGTAACGCAGCAGTTGTCGCACGAATGGGCAAGTGTAGTTTAAGTGTTATACTTCTGCGTTTCGTCTGGTGAGGGTGCTGGCTGGAGCCCAGTTTTTTATAGGCGATACGCACCCCACGGGTGTTGCAAATGTCAATGGGTAATTAATAACTTAACATCATCTGAACCACCGGCTAGCTTAGCACCTTTTCAAATGAAAAGAGTAGTAAACGCGACGTTCGTATTTGTTTTAAAAAAAAACCAAGCATCTAAGTCCAGGTATGTAAATGAGATAAACAAGGTGATAATGAAGAGTTTCTGAATGGGCAGACTAACGGAATATTCACCCTCAGAGAGCGGGATACACGAGAACGGTCGTCATTGAATCCGATTCATTGAAGTGGGGTCCCCTAACGCTATGCAAATTTACCATCGGCTTCCACCGGAAGATTTGCGCCGTTATTCAAACAGCGACACCAAGGTTGCTTCAAACGTTAGACGACGCTAAGAGATTACAAAAAGGATTTATTCAGAACTAGCCCCCCGCCTCTGCTTCGGTGTGCACTGTACTATACATATGAACCTTCCTCTTGAATCACTCTATATAGTCAAAACAACCGCATCAAGATCCGTTGCGTAGTTTTAAAGATCTAAACAGACAGACAGCGGCACGACTCTGTTTTATACTATGCAGTGATATCGTACGCGTATTATCGTTGCGACTCGAAACCGACAATCTGAATGGCGTAGTGGGTAGTGTACTGCCTACGGCGCCAGATGGTGTGGGTTCGATCCCCACTACTGGAAAATATTGTGTGATGTGAGTGAATATAGTGTTTTTCTAGTGTCTGGGTTTATATATGCATAATATTAATAATTTACAAAAGAAAAGTATGTTTAAGTATGTTTATCAGTTATCTAGTACCCATTGTAAAAGTACAAGTTGCTTAATTTGGGACTAGAGAATGTTGTGTAAAAATGTGTCCTAAATTATTTATATTTATTTCGAACACTTCACACCGTGCCTTAAACACAAAAATTGTTCGAAATATACGAATTTAAACCAAAATTAAACACTAAAGGCCATAGAGCAGTTTCATTTGAAATGTGCAGTGCATACGTAAATACGAGAAATCAAAAACAATCCTACCCTACACAATGCCCTGCCTAGTCAAATAGAAACTACGTTTTAGTTATATAAATATAAAAATCCGGCCAAGTGTGAGTTATACTCGCGCGCGAAGGGTTCCGTACCATTATCTATAAAAATAGTAGAGGCTCCGTTTTAGTTATACCAATATAAAGAAAGGTTCTCGCAATAGATAACCAAATGTAAATAGGCAATCAATGACGGATAGTTCAAACCGTTACCATTTAAGCCACAGTCAAAAAATATCATGGGAATTAATTTTCCCGCCTTCGCACAGGCCACAGCTTATAAACCCTGCATTTTTAATCTGTCTGTCATTATCTTTTTGGACATCTTCAACAATCGTCGTCATATTTCGTCTTATTTACACAAAGCCTAAAATGTGTTGAAAAAATAGTCAAAAATTTTCGCCAAAGGATTCGAACCCATGCCTTTTGGGATACGCGTCCAGACGCTCTAGCCACTAAGCATTAAGTTCCAAATATTTAGATCAATAATATCACCGAGTGAACACTTTGATGTAATAATCTATTTTTTATTGCTTTTATAGCAAGGTTTGGCGTCAGTTTCTCAAACGACGAATATTAGAAAAAGGTGTCACCTTTGCTATTGATATTTAATCACATGTATGTTGATACTTATAGATAACGTAAAGTAAATATACAAGCATGCTTGTTTCATATAAAATTGCACAAATGAATTTCAATAATAGATGGTGAAAATCTGTAAAACAATGCATGATGTTGTAAAAGCCTTATATCATTTTAAACTTTCAGTTTGTTTAAAACCGAATGATAATATCAAAGAAAGTTGTAGGAACCATAATGCATAGCATCATCCCTCTCTATCTACCCAAAAGATTTAAAAGAGGCAGACAACTAATTGTAGGTTAAAGAAAATCAAAGAATGTACCTGGCTGCTGTACGATCGTCATGCTCATAGAAAGTTCCTTTCTTGGGAATGTACTGAGGGTTGCTTCTGTCCTCGTCGTCATCTACTCTACGCTCAGCCTCTGCTTCATTGTCCTGTAATTAAAATATTCGCTTTAATTTCAAAAACATCATGAATGTGCACAGGTGTGTAGACAGGTGTCTACTACATTAAGTGAAAAAAGTCTTCTTAATTCATTTATAATAGTATACTATTTTGGACAATAAATATGATAAAATAACTTTTGGTTAGTACAAACAGCAATAGGATTTAAATCACATTGCAACACACCATTAAAAAATAATTAACTAAAAATCATCAAAATTTATAGCCAACAACCATATTCAAACTGAACACAACATAAATAAACTGAACTCAAAGCAAAATCTACTGTGGTAGATAGCTTCCGCTGTCGCATCAATATGAATTGATAACCCCACAGAAAATCTGAATTAAATCTGTTTGATCATGAAAAAATCTGCAACCCATCTGGTGTTGCTGATAACCATGGGCTGATATAATACAGGTAAAATTTGGGCAATTACAAAAAATTTGAAACATACTACAGTAAGAAAACTTATATACATTGAGCAACAGAAAGATTACAATGCATTTAGTAAAGTATAATTACAATCAAGTTAAAATTTGTAGAAAAATTGAACAAAAAGTTTTACGCTGCTGCGCGAATTCTTAACAGCTGATTGCGCCATTGATGAAAATCGTCAACATAATTTATCTACATTTTTTTGCATTTTAAGCAATGCTTGGCGACTTCAAATATCGTTTTACAACAATAATTTGAAAAAGAGATGTTGTCATTGCTATTTGAAATTTTAATTTGCACCAGAATCCGGAACATGTGGGTTAGATTACCACAGCAGTGAAAACCTTTTGTACATTTCTCTACAAATTTTAATATTTCATCTATAATGGTCTATTAGCACTATGAAAATTAAATTACAATCAAGTTTTCTATTATCAAGAACTATATAGCAATGTGATAAGCATTATAATGAAAACAAACGCAGCTAATTATGGTCATTACCATTATACTTTCATTTTTTATAAAAAAAAAAATATTAACGACTCCACAACAGTAACTTGAAAGTTCAGCTTTCACCTGCATTTTAAGATTTTTTTCTTTAGAAAAAAACACTAACAATTCATTATTCTTTGCTGCATTTCACTTACAATTTTTTACTCTTAAGTAAGAAACATAATCATAACCATCATTGATAAAAATAATGAATCAAAAGCAAGTTTATGTTTAATATTATGTATGTAAGTAGTTCAATTTTTAAAGGCAACCCATTTTTAATTTTATACCTATCAGTAAAGTTTTGTTCAACTTCCTTATACCAGCAATTCATTTTCTTAAAAATAGAGAGATAATTTTAACAGATTTTACAATTGAGCCAAATCTGTAAAAATGTTTATGTAGTCACAAAAGATATAATCCAATATATTAATAATATTATATCTCCATGGCAAGTGATTTTTAACACAATTGTTATATTGAATGCAAGCATGCTACCATACAACAAATAGTTAGAAATCTCGCAAAATCATAAGCCAAAAGGTTAAGACTCAAACTGTTATAGGTTTAGACTTAAGCTTGAACATGTCATTGTTGTAATAAATTAATATCATTTGGAAAGTTCAAAACAAAAACATAAACACAAACCTGACTTTCGGGATCCCTGTCGGAGTGCTCGGATTCGCTACCCGCGGAGTCGTAATCAGATTCGTTCGGCCCGCCGTCCTGCAAAGGTTCAGCTACTTTGAGAAGTTGCATTGTTAAGAAGTCACACCGGCAACGTATCAATTAAGGAACCCGATTGATCGACATAAAATTAATGTCTAAACACAACAGTGACGGCCAGGTGAGTGGTGCCGAATTCGTGACCTCAATACGGCAAAAAGAAATGTACATTCCGGCACGCGAATGCGCGGGAGAAAGTGCACGGCCCCGATACTTTTGACGGGCAATACGAAAGTCCGACCTCGACGCTGGCCGCTGCATAAGCGTCGAACTTACATTTGCGGAGCTGCTTCGCTCAATGTCCTGCGATGCGTCCGAAAATTCGCCGGAGTCGTCATGTTCTCGCCTTCTAGCCACGGACGTCATACTGGCGTCCTCCCGGGTTACTTGTAACACTTCCAGATTGACTATTTTCTTTCACAGTTTATAGAGCGAGCGTAAGCTGACGATTAATCCAATGAATTTCAGTGGTAATCCCCCTCCTCAACAAAATACGAAAGAACGTCAAATAAACAAGATACCATAGCGGCCATAAACGATACGTTTCTTTTCACGTAAAGTGTATGTGGTCATTAATTTGCAATTAACACAAACATATTTAAAATAAATAAAAGTTTTAACAAACTATAGTATAGTGATCCATATAGCCTATTTAAAAAGATTTTTCTAATTTTTCTAACTGAATTAATCATTTAGGAGAACAAGATTCACGATAATAATCAATTGGTGGAAACAATTACATTTTGGAAATAAAAATCATCGTCATTAATTATGCAATGATCAAAGGAACATATGCAAACTCGCTACCAAGTAACAATGATATCTTGACGTAAGTAATTAAAACAGTCAATCCAGTGCGCTCAGGCAAATGGGTGTTTGTTAATTTATGTATGATGCGTTTTGCGATAGACTGCTAGACGCAGTGAGGTATTGACGGTAGTTAACTAGTTCGGCCATCTGTTGGCTCGTTCTAGAGGTGACGCATTAATATGTAGTCTTCATATATAGGCTTTGTAAAACAGAAGGTACGGAAGGAACTCGTGAGTTTGCGATTTCATACAAGATAAGGTAATTGTGATTTAATTAAAATAATCCGATTGGCGTAGTGGGTAGTGACCCTGCCTCTTGCGCCAGAGGGTGTGGGTTCGATCCCTACTGCTGGTAAAATATTGTGTGATGAACGTAGTGTTTTTCTAGTGTCTGGGTGTTTATATATTTATAATGAGTATTTATTTACAAAAGAAAGTTATGTATAAGTATGTTTATCAATTATCTAGTACCCATAGTACAAACCTTGCTTAGTTTTGGACTAGAAAAAGTTGTGTTAAAATGTATCCCGAAATATTTATTACTTATTTATTAGGTATTTATTTGGAAACTCATAAATAGTATAAAAGGACCTACCCCCTAATCGTATTCTCGTGGGTAAAAAATAAAATATTATCCAAAAGAAAAACCGAATCAGTATATGAGAAAAAACAATTATACATCTTCCAAGTTAATTTATTTTTAATACCTAATTCAATTTATTTTTTCGTCCCTTACAGTTTTTATGAGGGATTGTTATTTAAACAATTAACTTAGCACTCGCTACGTTTAAGTAAGAATTATAATTTTTTATGAGTTTTATATGGGTACCTTGTCAATTATTTAATATTAAATATTAATCAATACATAAAACAAGTACATATAATATTATTAATTAATGAACAGAAAGAAGGAAAACCCAACTGTGAAGTTACGATGACTTTACGGCCTACGAAATTCATATCTAGTCTCGATCTAGATAGTCCGGAGGTGCATCTTTTTTCTCGTCTCTCAGAAGTGATTTAGGTAAAATCAAGTTGTTATGTTTGTTTCAATTACTTAAAAGTCACAGTGACAGATATCGGTTACAAAATAACAGTAACGGTAATGCATTCTATATTGTGACAATTTGTGTAACTGTTACCGTAGAGTAGTAACACGTACGGTAATAGCCGTTTTCGTTATTTATTTATGTGTGTACTTCGCATGTCCGAACCATGTAACAAGTGAAAGAAATTATTATAATTAGACGAAGAAAAAGAAAGAGCTTGTGACTGTGACATAATGTTCAGTAACGACTGTGACATAATGTTCAGTAACGACTGTACCAGGACCAATTTTTTTCTTTTTATTACTAAAGTAACAGTCGTAAGCATGAATAAAGACTGTGTCCAACAGTAACTGTTATTTACATTTGTACGTAACATGTACAGTCTGTTATCTCAAGATACCTATTATAATTACCTGTTATGATAAATACACCTCACTTCTACCCCATACTGCAATTGCTGCCTCTTTCTGTGTTTTCTAACCTACATACTAATAAATCGAAGATAATTTTGTATTATATACATGATATAGGATTCCTTGAATTTTCTTAATTTTAGTTTAACGTACATTATATATTTTTTTTACGGACACACGATGGCATTTTTATTATTGTAAAATTTTAGACGCCATGCCTACGTAAACCAAAGTCGAAAGGTCTAAAATTAGGACGTTTTCGTAACTGTCCTTTGAGCGTGTTAACAAAATAACTACAGTATAAAATATCATTTCCCCTTGTGAGACAGTCGTTACCTCTACCTTCCATACTTTTAATTCAATAAGAATTTGGTCTAAAGGTCCTTGATACCGGGCCATAAAATTCAACAAAAAAAATCAATAAAAGTGTCATTGTCAAATTGTCATTTGACAAATCGACAATATCGATTAACGACATATCGAATTAAAAGTAGTGATTACATTCTCTTTGATTAACGATTTCATAGATAAGATAATGATTATCTACAGTTACTGGACTGGTATGACTTATATATTTCTTTCTCGATGCCGTTTGTGTATGTAATAACAATTGTAATTTAAAAAACGGGTCACTGAGCCTTATTCACAATTATTCATAAACAGGAAAGTTTACCAAATTACATTAAATATAAGATTATACATTAGGGGTAATAAGATAAAAGTCACAGTATTTGTTTGATTATATTTATATAAAATCAAGAATCAATACCTTTTTTAAACATATTAATAATGTCAGAGTTAGAAAGGTGGCGTATTTTTTTTATCAAAGTTTTAAATCAAACTGTTTTCATTGAAATTGTCAATAACAACCACTTTTTTCAGTAAAACTGAAATAGCGCCTGAAGACATAACAACTGTTCAAAATTTAGCAAAAGGTTTCATGGAATTATATGAACCTCCCTTTGTCACTATAAATACCCATTTAAAGGATTTAACGTGAGTAATATATGGGCTGAAGTAATTTACATCTCTATATTAAAAACAATGACATTATATACAAGTAAGAGGACACTGTGACACTAGCGAACCGAAACTGAGGCTCAAATTACGCCATTTGGTGTAATTAGATTGTAAATCTGTAAACTGCTAGCTCTTTCGTTATCATATGTTCTGTATCATTTGTCACATTCACATATATGTCATTTAATGTAAAACTTTACCAATTTTTGGCAATAATATGTACCTTTCCCATGCAAGTTTCCAATATCTAGTTGTCATATAAAGATACAACAAACCTTTTTGTTCAGACATGTGCAGAACTGCACAACATTTGTTTTAGTCTATTAATATTTAGATCATTCTCGAGTATTTTAAATTTAAAAATAATTTATTATTTTCCAATATTACAGTGAAATGCAAGAGTCTGTTCATAGCATGCTAACTGCAGAGAGGCGCAAACTGGAAGATCTGCAAAATGATGCTATGTTAGATGCGTTAGTGAGTGGCTTTCCTTCATTTTCATTTATAAATTGCATTTAAATTGAATGGGATGATTGTAAAGAATGAAGTAATTTTATAAAATTCATTTTTCCATGGCTTTAGATGTGTACTAAAAGTTAGCTCAAAGTAATTCTTTTCCTAATGCGAAATAGTGATTATAAATATGAGTGTTAAGATTTATTTTCAATATAAAAAAATACTTTCTTTTTATTATAATATATTGAAGAACTTTCTTTGAATAATAATTTCTACTTTTGCGATTTTTCCACAAAAAAAAATTAAACATCTTTATGGATCCTACTCGTAATAGTTTGTTGTCCAGACCGTCTTCTTTTAATTCAATGTACTCAAACAACCTCCGAGTTCAATCACATTCGAGCCATCTATATCTTCATGTCTAAATATAATCAATCCATTATTTCTTCTTTTATTCCATTGACTTTTCTCGTCATTCAACATAGAAGCGTCCATTTTTCCTTTATTGTAAAAACAGTATTATTTGTTCGTTCCCTCAATCCTTAAGGTCGTGACCATATGTATTATCTTCCACATCTTTTTGGTGCCTTTCTTGAGCACATCTGCCGTTCATCTGGCCTATAATGATCTGCTTCTCAAGACTGTGCCTTGACGATCGAATATTGTATCCCAAACAAGCAGAAACGTTCACGGCAAATTGATGAGAGCTGCGTGATTTTAAGCTGTTTTAATATCGATCGGCAGTCCAAGGAATATGGAGCATCCTACGCCAACACCCGCTTTTCGAATGCATTGATCTTACAGCTAACGCTGCTTCTTATGATCCATGTATTGACATATTATGAAACATGAAAATAGAGAACCAATGCTCGCCTTAGTTGCATTTCGAATACTATGGTTCTTCCATATAAAAAAAAACTATTATACTTTATAGAAAAACACGGAAACTGTGTTGTAATTTTGTTCCCTTATCTAACAATCTTTATAGTTGGCGGACATTGCTACAATCAAAGAGAAGCTGGTCACCATTTCAAACACCATGGTCGGACTTCACAAAAAGATGCAATCCTTACAGGTGGGCTACATTTTTAATTCAATATACTATAAAGACTGCAATTAACACTGGATTTCCCAAGGATGGTTAACGTTAGGCAGGCGGCCAGACGTAAATATATAGACAAAACCGCTTACAACATTAATTACATGTTGTGCCGATCCCACCTAGGTGGGACAAGGGCAGGAGGATGAATATGATGATGATACTATAAATATTGCAGTACGTCTGGGAAAGACTGGAAGAGAATTTTACGGTGGTAGGGCCACGCAGCAGAATCGGCTGTTGCACATATGGGCAGGCTCGTCCGCGTAAGTACCACGACCTCACAGAAGACCGGCGTAAAGTATAATACTTTTGCGTTTCGTCTGGTGAGTGAGGTAGCCGGAGCCCAATTTTCAAAAGGTTGTCAACGTATCTGTAACCCTCGGGTGTAGGGTTGCAGATGCGTTGTCACCTTTTAATAAAGTGGGCCCGGATTACCTCACTCACCAGACGAAACGCAGAAGTTGTTACACTTCTACTTTACGCCGGTCTTCTGTGAGGTCTGGGTACTAACCCGGACTGACCTGCCCATTCGTGGCCCATTCGTGCAACAGCAAACAATGTTGCGTGGTCATACCACAGTTAATTATAACAGTACTATTGTAGGTAGGATTTTAGATTCCAAATACTATAAATGAATTTTCAATTGAAAGTTTCTTTATAATATGCATACAGCAGATTATGTTAGAAAAATGTACTAACATAAAGTTTTTTTTACAGACAAGGGCTGCTAATGTCGAAAAAGTGGCGTTGAATAGGGCAGATAGTAAACAATAAAATTCTATGAATATTTTTAAATGTCATACCAATAATTCACTTCGTTTTATATATTCTACTCTTATTATATAAATTCTGGTAAAGATATTTATTAATATTAATCTATTATAAGAGCAAACTCTTGAAGAGATTACTCTGATTATATTTTCATTTAATAAAAGGCCTAGTACATTGCATGAAAATAAAGGGATTTGAACCCTTTAAACCGGGGTTGGCATAGTTGCGATATATATCTCAAATATGATGTGGTAGTAAAGTATAATATGTATATAAATATAGTTCAGATATTATGCGCACATAATTTAAATTGAATGCGAAGTTTGACATTGCAAGTTTTCATGTAAACAGTTCCTACCAGTTTGAATGCGGGTAGTTTAAAATTGTGGTGCAGACCACTGGCAAGTGGTTTCGATTATCAAAATGGGAAACGGGGGGGATTTGTCCCACACTGCGATGGCCAGTTCGAGGGTAACACTCGAACCATTCGATTTCATCTGCTAACGGTTGTTCGAGCTTTGTGGCCCATTGCTATTACAACGTATTAATCCTCTGAGTTATGTCAGTTACCTTTTGTTCTACTGAGCATCTGAGCATGCCGTATCAGGAAGCTCAAAGATGCTCAGCGAACTGCTTTTGGTATTTCTCTACTTGTTAGAGTTCGAAATAGGTCTTCAAACGTGATAGAGTTAGATAGAGAATTCTACTACTAATACTGTCTGTGTAACTAATAATTAATATGCAAACTTTTTAATAACCCATTGAGGTTCTAAGTCAATGGCGTGGAAACCATGATAAGTATATAAATTGAAATATTAAAATTGACTGTGTTGTAAAAAACTTAAATATAATTTTAATTTACTTTAAGCCCGAAAGAAGACTAAGCTGCCGTTGTGTATACAGGTATAAAGTAATAAAACTCGAAGTCTTATTATTTTTTATAAACTTTATTTACCTTAGGTACAATGTTATAAGTACAATAATAAATACAATGTTACGTTTTTGCTTACAGGTATACGTATATTAAAGCGCCTGTCATCGGCTTATTACGAGAACTCGTTCAATAATAAAAATTGTTACTATTCGATTGATATAATGCATATTTCTAGCTCTACAAACACGTGGCACTAAATTTAACCGTGTATTTCAATCGAGTCCATGCAACCATCAATTTTTACTTGAAGAGTTTTTGCACTAAGCCGACATCTTTTGTTAATATTGTTTTAATAACGAACGTAAAGCTATCGCTTAATAGCGTCATAAACTTATCTATATATAATCTGCGCATTCCTCTAATGGCGCCAAAATTGCGCATTGTAAAAATATATATTTATTGTCTATTTAACTGTTCCGTAATGAGATGTTTTTTAAGATCACTTAACACTATTTGTGAAATATTGAAACTAAGACTAGCGCTGAATGTCTTTTATAATTTAACTCAACAATATTTTAGAAAAATATTGAGTTAAATTAAAAATAACAATTGATTAAGCATTGTAATGGCAGTTAAATTTAATAATTTAACAATGAACAGCGAGAATTACTGTACAGTTATAAATATCACTGAACTGAACAAAAGCGTTTTTTTTTTTATTTAACCTTAATTAAAACTCACGGCACAACAACTCCTTATCAGATTCCGTCGCATTCACAAACAAATCCATTTTTAAACTATTTATCACACCTTTTATCGTAACTTTTGAAAATCGAATACATTAGGAGATCTTTAGCTCTGAATCACAAAGGCACATACAGTTTACGTAATTTGAATATTAAATTTCAAAAACTCTGTCATGTGTGGTAATAAAATTTACCCAAAAAAAGCTCTTCACAATCGCATACCACTTAAGACCGTTATATAAATACTCGTTAGTGCATGGAATTTTTAAAATACAGATACTATTTCTAATTAAAGTACAACAACATTTTTATGCGGATCGAAAAATAGCATTATTTTTTGATAATATCCTAGTAGAAATTTTACAATAATCGAAAGTAATAGGTTTCGAAAACCAAATGTAAATTACAACTAGATCGATCAGAAACCGGGATGATTACTACTATTTAAAGATGGCAACACCGTTTCGTAAGTGTAGGTAGAAAATGACGAAAACTGATGAAACGGCTTTTAGCGCCTTTCATTTAAGTTTAAAATTAGCGGTATCGAATTTGCAGAGGGATAAAATTTATCCTCAAAAAACAGCAATTATTTCGCTATATACCTCAGCGACGAGGGCGAACTGGTATAAATCGAGCGCGGCTTACTTATGTAATAGAACACAGTTATATTAATTAATTTCAAAACAATCTTTAACCCTATTCTTATTACATTAATAACTGTTACAAATTAAAATTTACTTAGCTATAAAAGAAGAAAACCGTTCATATATTTATATTGGAAATTTCTATTGCATTCTTTTAATACGTTCATCGCATCCGACTTCGAACCATAGAGAAACGGAACCGATCGAAACTAGATCCGCGCTCGATAGTGTTGCCATCAATTCGGTCACAGATTACGGTGGTCGATCGATCGTCAAAAATGTTGACGGCTTATCCGCGCCTGCCTGTAAGTGTTGCCACAATTCCAGTCACCAACTACCCGAAATTCCTGGTGCTGTTCAGCAGCAGGACGCCGTGCCGCGTTCGCACCGCCTTCTGGACGAGGCAGAGCGGCGCGATCAAGCCCTCGAGGGGCCTCTGCTACTTCTGGTTAGCCTCCGTGACGTCACTGAGGGCGGTCACCACGAAAGACTCGATCTCAGCCTCGTTGGAGCCGCGCGCGATCCGGAAGTAACCGTTCTCGCCCCACCTCTCGCCCCAGCTGTTCGCCACCAGCTGGGAGAACGAACAGTTTTGATATTACAGATGCAACAGAGACTTAACTGCGGACGAAGATTTAACTGTGGTAGGGCCACGCAACTTTGGCTGTTTCACATAAATGGGCAAGTCCGTTCGTCTTACCCGGACTTAAAGCACTGTACTTATATCACGAACTAACAGAAGGCGTGAAGTGGAAGTGTCATACTTCAGCGTTTCGTCCAGTGAGCGAGGTAGTCGGGGCCAACTTTATTAATTGATGGCAACGCACGTGTAAATATCCATGGGTGGAATTTATCACTTAACGTCAGGTGAACCGCTAGCTCGCTTGCCAACTTACCACATGAAAAAAGACAAATTCGTGAATAAGGAAAAATATGGACGTTAATGACAGAATAAGGCAAATTCGCTTGTGAATTACCCCTGCATTGTGAAACGGTGACAATTGCTAAGCTATTGGTTTCGGCTTCGCGGGTGATTCGATTGGGGACACATATTTGTGTGACCCACAGATAATTCCGGATCTGAATGTTTGTTCCAAAGGCGGGTTGACTTCAGGCAGGTAAATGGCCAATATCACTAACAACATGATTCGCATGTTGCGCCACCTAGGTGGGATAAGGAAAGAAAGATGACGAAGTTGTTACAAGTCATCGCACGGAACGGGTCGCTTTTGCAATGGCGTTTATCGCTTAAACTGATTGAATATTCCATTTTTGCTCTGCCTATACACGAACCTACTCGTACGCTCTTAAGTCAATGCAAACTGTATTTCTTCTGCGGGCTCTGTGCTTGAAGCCTTACTCAATAAAAAAGCAAAAATCTTCCATCGTGATAGAGCCAAGCGGCACCTTGGGTGTCGTATTAAATGTTCCAACTGGTCCGGGGAAGTACCAATGCCTTACAAGAATAGATGGAGGTCATCATATTTGCACATCACGCTTTGTGAATGGGGTGACTGGGTTCCATCTGGCAAAGATTGGAAACGCAACTGTTACCAAGCTCCAGCCATATTACTTTCTGTCTCCCATAGAACATGGTTAGTGTGTCTATATAAATAAATAATAATTGACCGTACCCAGTATCTGTCGCCGCGGTCCTCTCCCCAGCCGATGATCCTGACGCTGTGATAGCCCTTCAGGTCGTTGTTGCCCTGGTAGCTGCGGCGGTACACCCCGTCGCGGTAGTGGAAGAAATCTTGGTAGACAGTCATGACAGCTGCGAAGGGAAATATTGAATAAATAGAGACAACGTGACTACTCCTATTTACACAACATTGTTAAATAATTGTATTTTACGGTTATTATTGCGTCAAGAAGAAACACGACAAAATACGTAGGATAGTTTTATTTAACAAATAGATATTTGATAAACAATCTTTCACAATTAGGTCCTTAAAACGACTTGAGCCTTAAACACTTTTGCAATATCTTCCAAATCCATACACTCTTTTCTGTTATGGGGTGCTAATTAAAATCGTCTCACCATAATTTCGTCAATCTGGCATCAGAGATAAAAGAGATTTCTTAGTTAAGTTTCCGTTCTCGAATTCAAGTTTGTTTTATAATGTTGTGTTTACCTGTAACTTAAATATGTACATACATATATTGTTACAACTTTATTATTAAGTTACACATATTTTTATGTCAATGTTCTGTATGTATTTCGTTGGTAAGCCTTAATAAATAAAATAAAATAAATCTGGTCGTTACGTGAATACCTAAGAATTCGGCCAAGACACACAAGCTCTGTTTCCTAATAACTTTATTTCTTTACATTAAAGACTCGCGTAGTGAGTATGTCGACCGCTTAGTGGCTACAGAGTCTGGATGCGTAATCCCGAAAGTGCAGGTTTGAGTTCTGGCAGCGGCGAAAATAAATTTTGCAACATTTTATTTACACATTTTTAAGTTTCACCTTAAATGCACAGACTAGCCCTAAATTAAAATGGAACTTAATATACTTATGTATTGTTTTAGTAAGAATTATACACTTAAATAGTAAGCAATAGTTTAAAAAATGTAAACCAATATCCGGCAACATGACAACAATCGTATAAGAATATTTATAATCAGATTTTTGGCATTAAAATTATTTAGTATTAATAGTTCGTTATGAAATGAAAGAAGACTGATCTAATACGTAAATGAAATTTACAGTTAGTTATTACTGTTAAATTTACAGATAGTTACTGCATGAAAGTGTTGGTGGTTTCCCTTCTTTGGGGGTTCTCAAAAGCGATTGCTTTTGAAATTTAAATTGATATCCGATGATAGTCGTTTTTGCCATTAAATCCCTCGGATATTTTAGTTTAAAAGCGTATATCTACTAGATAATCCATGTTGATGAACGTTGCATCACACATAAATAACTCAAGAATCATTGCTCTTCACCTTCAGCCCACCATTTGAATCCCATTAACAATGTCGTGTCAATGCCGCCGGTCGTCAATAAATCCATCATATTTATATCAATCCAAGTGTTTATAACATTCGTTGATGCAATATAATAACAATTATGCTAATGTGCCATGCGTTACTTTGAAACAACTTTAGAGTGCTCCTTATGTGATTATAATTGCGTACTAAAGATTATAAATCGATATATGCCTACGCGGAAATGTTCATATTACAGAGAAGCTTAAAAGTTCTATTTGTTTTATTTTATCTGTGTATATTCTTCTACCTAATGCGACGGGTAGTAAATTTTGTCACAAGTGATTTTATCTCTTTTTGACATCGTAAATGCAGGAAACTAGATATTTTAAAATGCAAATAACACAATTCATCTATATTGATCAAATCAAAAAACCAATTAAAATGTTTAGAATAAAATATTTATTTTATGTATATAGACTAAATAATCTAGCTGCATGCCCGTTTTCACTCACATTTTTCTATATTCAGAACACGATACTTATTTTATATATCCATAGTTTAATCATTGTAATTTATTTTTATTGTATTGCTTCTTTGAGCCTATTGTACGCAATTAATCTATCTCGGCCTTTGTGCAATATCGTTTTGTGGGCCGCAAGTGTAAAGACTTGTTACTTTGTTGTATTCAATGATGACTCACTCACTTCCATTCGAACATATGTTCGTACATTGATATCAATGCAATTTAGTTTTTTTTTTTTTTTTTTCAATTCGGTTTGGTTTTTTTTACTTCTACTCAACCGCTTCCAAGAATGAATATACAATTATTATCACGTAATAATTGCATTTACGTTGTTATATATTGTATTTATAACGTTTTATGGAGAGTTACCTACGAAAAGTAAAATATTTTACCGTGGGTTTGCTAAATATAGCTTCGATTAATACGTTATGGGATGAATTTTTAGATTGTTTTAGATTAAATGACCTGGACGTTTTATGTCTTAATGAAACCTGGCTCGCACCTGACGCGGACACTCGATCATACAACGTTCTCGGATACAAATTTATACATGTCCCACGTATATCTCGCGGTGGTGGGGTAGGCGCTTATGTGCGCAATGATGTTGCAGTTCGGCAATTAAACCATCCAGTGGGGGTCCTCGAACAGATGTGGCTCGAAATTAACCTCAAAAATAGTAAATTGGCGCTAGGAGTTGTTTATCGGCCACCGTCTCAAAATTGGTCATCAGCTTACGAATCGTTACATGACTCCCTGATAAATTTTTACTCCCCAATATGATAATTTGCTTCTTTTGGGAGATTTTAATATCAATTGTATTAATGTTGATAAAGTTGTCTATACGCCTTCATGTTTTCATGATATTATAAATAATTATCAACTTAATCAAATAGTTACGTCACCTACTCGGATAACACCTCAAATCGAAACACTTCTCGACATTATTTTTGTAAGTTCTCAATTAAAACCCATTTCCACAAACGTAATTCATAACGATGATCTTAGTGACCACGGTTTGGTCATAGCAAAGTTTGGTATTGAATGCTTTAAAACTTGTCCTCGTACAATTTCGTATAGACCAATAGATGATAACATATCGGCTATAAATAATGCCGCTCAATACACTCCATGGGACCTAATTCTCCTATGCGATAACGTTAATGATATGGTCCAGAGATTTAACTTTCTAGTATTAGATTTAATTGACACTTTTGCTCCCATCTGCACACGGACATTCAAAGAACCTCCGACACCGTGGATGTCTGAAACTTTAAGGTCCCTTCGTCTTTTACGCGACAAAGCTTGTCAACGTGCTAAGAAGATGAAGACCGAATCGTACTTTCAATACTATCGAGATCTACGTAATTACTATAATACCGCTATTAAAAAGGAGAAACTTGCATATTTTAAATACGTTTTAAATAATAATAACAAAAATAAGAGTTCGGCTATGGGGAAAATCATCAACAAATTAATAAGACCAATAATTCGGGTAATAATATTCCGAATAGTCTTGCTGACCCAGACCAACTTAATATTTTTTTCACACAACAACACACATCAAACGCTGACAATATCCATAAGCAGGCTAGGAAAGACAAAAATACCAATTCGGTCTTTAACTTCATGGAAATTTCAAAATCCGACATTGCTCGCTTCATTGAATTATCGTCCTCAAATTCTATCGGTTGTGATGGTATCTCCATGCTTATGATAAATTTAACCTTACCTTACTCTCTAAATGCCATATCTGCCATAATCAATAAGTCTATTAGTGAAGGAATTTTTCCTGAATTATGGAAATGTGCGGTTATCACACCTATCCCTAAAAAAACAAAGGTAGAGAGTATGGAAGACTTAAGACCGATTAGTATTTTACCTGCACTCTCAAAAGTAGCTGAGAAATGTGTGCTTAAACAGATGCTACCGTACCTAAAGGAAAATAATATAATCCCTTCTCTACAGTCTGGCTTTCGTAAACAACATAGTACTACTTCAGCGCTCTTTCACATTGTTGATGATATCCTAACAGCTTCGGATAAAGGACTAGGTACTATTCTCGTCCTCTTAGACTTTTCACGTGCATTTGACTGCGTTTCGATTCCAATTTTATTAGAAAAGCTGTATTACTTCGGTTTCTCAACATCCGCGCTGTAGTGGTTTAAATCCTATTTCACAAACCGGAGCCAGATAGTCCAATGCGTCGATACTGAAGGTCAGCGTAGGTTTTCAATGCCCGCTTCTATTACTAAAGGTGTCATCCAGGGTTCAATTCTTGGTCCCATTCTCTTTGCTATTTACACATCGGACATACACGACACGACTTTACGCTGACGACACCCATTTATATATACATTCACCCTTAACTACTGATGGCATGTTAACAGCTGTATCTAACTTAAATAAAGATCTCGAAGCAATTGTAGCCTGGGCGGAACGACATGACTTAATCCTTAATCCGAAAAAAAGCACTTCGATCATATGCGGAACCAAGCATCAAACAGACTTTCTAAAGCAGAACAACGCTTGTGTTAAAATTATGGTGTTCCTTGGTACCCCGACAGAATTGTGTGCGTAATTTGGGTCTTCTGATTGATGAAAACCTACGGTTCCATGAACATGTTTTGTGTAAAATTAGGATATGTTTTGCATCACTTAGATCACTTTATAAAATTAGAAATTTCATTGATGAAAAATTACGTTTACAGTTATGTAATACTTTAGTCTTATCAAACTTGTGCTATTGTGATATTGTATATGGTCCTTGTCTATTCCAAAAAACTATAATAGCTATACAACGGGTTTAGAATGCTTGCATGCGTTATTGTTGCTCGATACCTAAACGACACCATATGTTACCATATATAAATCAGAGGGGTTTGTTAAAAATGGATAACAGGAGACGCTTGAGACTGGCTTGCTTTCTGCATTCATTATTAAAATTCAAAGCACCAGCTTATTTATATAATAAATTGAGCTGGTCAAAAGACTTCTCGCGGTTCAATCCAAGGCTGAAAGCCCCTCCGCTTATCCTACCAAAACACACTCTTGTGCAAACTCGGGGCAGTTTTAAGTTTGCTGCGTCTAAATGTTGGAATGACTTGCCCCCCCCCTCCACTTCGTAACAGCTATTCCTTAAGTGCCTTCAAAATGAAATGTCGAAAATGGCTTTTGATGCAGCAATTATTGGCTTCGAGTACCCAGTCTTTTAAATATAATAGTAAATAGTTATTAATTGGATAGCAATATTAATATAAATAGTTAATGTACAATATCTTAGGAAGTACCTATTATAAAGCGTGTTCTTTATGTAAATTATGTCTGGCTAGGACAGAATATCAAAGTTGGTGTACCTTCCGTGCTAAAACTTTGAGTCCTTGACCATTTTGTCTAAATAATTGTTATTTTTTTTCTATTTATGTTACTCTTTAAATATTTTGTGCAGTGTTTGTATATTTAGACAAATAAACGATTATTATTATTATTAATTCTTCGATTTTTTTTTGTTTTTATATAACAGTACATTAAGGCCATCCAAAATTGCTACGAAGTATGGTGGAATGATTTAATGTACTTTTGAAATATCGGTAGAGTCCGTTCAAGACGAACGTATTATAACGACATGATTACCGATATGTTCCTTTATGTAACATTTTTAATGTAATACATTTACATTCCTGTTAGTTGAAAGGGCAAGCAGAGGCTCACGCGCATCTTTCGTCTCTTTCACTTCTTTACTTGCCTTGCTTAGGGATATTTATAACAGAACAAAACTTATCTAGCTGGTCGGGCCGTAAAAGTTCGTCATTCATTAGCACTTACTCTACTCGATTTGTTACCATTGATTCTCGTCCTCCACATCACCTCGTGTTACCATCACTCAATTTTCGTTCTTCACATCACGTCGACATAAAACTTACTCCTCTTGCATGCGCTCGCAGATCGGAATCGTTTTGATCTTGTACCTAAATTAACTCGCTGAACGAAACCCGTGAGCCGACGGATTTGGATCTTTAGGGCCAGTTTTATTACTCACCTTGGACCGGTCCCGACTCCATTATATCGTACATGATGTCCTTCTCATGGCTGAGCTTGCCGGGCGGGCCGACCTTGTAGCGTGTGGTGCGGTGTTTAACCAGTGGCCGGCAGCCATCTTGGATGAGGGTGCTGCGCGGCCTGAAGGGGCACCTGGTCACCGAGGCCTTGTAGGGGAAGCAGTTTTCGTCGACCAGCCTGCGTGGATTAAACAAATCGTTGAACTAAGTTAAATATTAACCGTTGTTAAATTTAAACCTATCGGGATGCATTTAACTGTGGACGGTGTAACTGGGGACAGGAAAGCACAGATGCAATTCGAGATTTTTTTCACACTTATCCTTAAATGACAAATACTTGACGTCCTCTTTTCTTTATCGTTTTAATTACGCTATCCTTTTGTTCTATGGACTAAAACGTGTGAATGTGTACTGTCACTGTAAATAGGAACACCTTCGACCGGGGACTTTGTACGCGTATAACACATGTATACTATAAAATATCATTGACTGAAAGCTTATGATGATGATTGTCTATGGTAATAGCGAGCGATAGGGTGGAGTCGTGATTATTTGTCTATGGTCTTACCCGTGGCCCCTGGCGAAGTTCCACGCGACGTCGATGTGACCGCCGTGGCAGCCGCGTTGGGCGCGAAGGTTGCAGGAGAGCAGCGTCTGCGGGCTGAGCACCATGTTCTCAGCGCCATTCGATTGAATCGCGAACCTGGAATGGGAGACTTTCGTAGAGCTTTTGTCGAAAAATAAAAACATAAATATGGAGCAACGTGATATCCGTATATCATTTTATGTGTAAAATTACGAAATGTGTAAAAGTTTTCCAAAATTATTATATTGCTATTTTATATGATCAACAAGCTAAAACATTAATCTCGTTAAATAGGAGTAGGCTGAGGTTACAGAGGTTTTTAAAAAATTACCTTTAACGTTAATAAACTTCGTCAACCGGACACTATCGAAGTAGCTAAAAAATCAACCTCGTATCCGTACATGTATGTCTGTATGAAAATTACCTAATCATAACTGCAAGTGAGATATAAAAAAAACCTTAGAAAGCCAATTGTTAGTACCAATGGCGCTTCGCGTGTAGCAAGCTCACAGCGAGCGGGGAGCCTCTTAGGCGTGAAGGGGCGTCGAGTGCTTTTATTTTTAGCTCGAGTGCCCCTCAACTTTTCTAAAAGAGAAGGCCCTCAAACACATGGATCTCACGTTACGGCCTCTTTAGAAATAAATCTGGGTAAGTCGATACTGGTGCCGGTTTAAGTCGCGGATAACAAACAGATAATGTATGAATTGGTGCATTGTGCGATCGCTGCAACTCGAGTGGTGCCATGTTTGTTTTTAAAGTGCAAATAGCTTTAAAAGCACCGTGAATATCTGTTGCAGCAAACGACGACTATTTAATTAATTTGTACTAATCTTGTGTTCAGCAGTCTTTGTATTAATACTCTGAATGAGGTGTACGTAAGTTCTACTAAAAGTCTATGTCTGATTGAAGACTATGCTGGTAGTTGGAATGTTAATCGTATTGATAGAGGGTCCAAAGGAATTTTATTTCATTATATTCATTTTACGAAATGAATTAAAATTGTATTGTTTTACTAATATTTTGTTAATAATAATTGTTGCTAATTTATTTTTGCTGATAATTGTTGCCTCATCTGGGTATTCATCATCTCTCCCTCATATATGTACGCACGTATGAAGTTATACTTCTTTAACGTAACAAAAAAAAAATAACTAAAAAATCCCATTATTCTTTGTTTGTGAAAAAGAAAGTACCTGGAGGACCGGACCTTTGCTCGGTTTTTTTTTGGTAAATCATGCATTTTGGCAATAAAAGAAATAAAAAATTAAGAAAGTGATCTGGTATAGAAAAAAAGTAGTATAAAGTTTGTAAATAAATGATCGTGATACGAACCGCGGCCGTCTGTTTTGGGGCCGCCCTATTACCGACCGAGCTATAAAATTTTTTTTTGCGGCGAAATTTACTGTCATATTCGAATGAAATTTTTCATTCCCTGAAAACAGGGATAAAAGGACATTTTCTAAAAATGAAACCTAGCTAGATCGATTTTGCATGAAAATACATACTCAATTTCATGAAAATCGCTGGAACCGTGTCCGAGATTCCGATTATATAGATATACAAGAAAAAATCGCCTTGTTTTATATTTTCCGGTTTAAAATGCAACGCAATATTATCAAAAAAGTGTCGAATCATCTAATGGATGTAAAGTATATAATTATAAGCTAGCTTAATATTGAAAAAAAAAATGAGAATATTTTTTTATTCTACAAGACGACAAGCGAGCTGGCGGCTCGCCTTATGTTAACCAACCGCTTAAGGACATTTGCAATATTTTAATAAAGTTTAGATGTCTACGTTAAAGATAATTAAAAAAAAACAACGACAAAATTAAAATGAGTCGTCGGGCCAATTTTATCAAGCGTCATCTTGAGTGCAGTCGTGCATAATTTCGTTGTACATTGTTTATGCCCGTCCGTCAGACTTATTGCCAGAGATCAACCGCCGCGATATAGACCCGGTTGGTTATTTTTTCCATTATATTGGTGCAAATAAATTTTTCACACAAATGGGTCACTTTCACACGCCGTTTCGTGAATGTTAAACGGCGCAGTTGTGGCGCCGGACGTCAAGGACTACTTTTACTTAGGTTTTTTTTTCTTACATCCTTTGAAGGCGCCAGCGGCGGGAAAGTTGTTTTTTTTATCTTATCTGTTACTCATTTTGATGTGACGCTAAGCTGTTATAATTTTGTTTTTGTTAATGATTTTTGTTTGATAAATTACTAATAAGTGAAAATTGAAATTGTGGAATAAATTTGTATAAGCAATAAATATATTATGTAAAAAATATATATGTATATTAAATGAAACTAGTTTACGGATTTTATCGAGTTTTTATTTTGATTTTGTAATTCCCCACGTTTCGAACCCTTTACAGCGTTCATGGTCACGGGACAGACTGAGTTGTTACGTCTTGTGCACGTCGGGAATTACAAAATTAAAATAAAAAGCGATAAAATCACTCGCATAAAATCAAGAAGTCAATACATAAGTATTTATTCTAATATAGGGATAAGTTTTTTTATATAGGTTTAAATGTGATAACAATGTAAAACTTCCCAAGAATGTTATGCTATAATGAGGGAGACTATACTTTTAGTGTAATACTTTAAGGATTTTAAACCACGTCGTATTGAATGTTTAAAGACATCACTGCAACGGCTAAATTTACCCGATAAACGATAAAGTTAAATGTAGCATACAACAAACTCTTTCGTCTTTTGACCCTATCTCGTAATTAATTAAAACGGAGTAGCCGTTTGGATATCTGTCAGTAATTACGAGAAATCATTTAAATTCTTATAATAGATAACAGAATTATAACAACTGGTAGTGCCACGGATGACTCATACGAAGTTAATTATTTATATTCTTACTTATCGGTCAGTGAAATAAATATATATTTTTTAAAAATAATGCAATAAATATTTATACATCTTAAGACCATACATGTTACTTCACTTTCATATTTTTTTTCGTGACATTCGATATCGAATCCTTATTTGTTACCCACATCAATATGGCTCGTGCGAGAGGGACAGACTAATAACAATGATTTATGGCCGGACCACCCAGTTGTTATCCTGGCTATACGTATCAATTCTTGAGCGTTCGCGGCTAAAATATAATTAAAAACCAAATTAGCTCACCTGTCTGACGCGACCCCGGCTAAAGAAACCGCCCAGTCGGAGCCGCACCAGCCCTGGTCCACTATGGGCGAGATGAAACCAGGCCAGCGGGTGCGAGCGTCGAAGTTTGTGGGGTAGGCGATGTCCTTGTCATATCGAAGGGGGCCCATCCGCTTGGTCTCGCTGCTCAGCGGGAACGTTCCTGAGGGAAGAAAAAAAAGTAAAGTAACAGCCTACACATATCCCACTGCTGGGCAAAGGCCTCCTCTTTTTTATAGAGGGTATCTGGGCATAGTCCCAAATTTTAACGGTGGTAGGGCAACGCAGCAGCCTCGGCTGTTGCACGAACGGGCAGGGCAAGCCCTTCACATAATACTTTCGCGATTCGTCTGGTGAATGAGCTGGCCGAAGCCCAATTTTCAAGAAGTTATCAACGCATCTGTAACCCTCGGGTGTAGCAGATGTCCATGGGCGGCCGTATTCACTTAACATCAGATGAAACGCCTGCTCGCTTGGCAACTTGTCACCACGCGGCGCCACTGCGGATTGGCGAACTTATCTTCGGAATTGTTATTTCGAAAATATGCAGGTTTCCTCACGATGTTTTCCTTCACCGTTAAGCACGTGATAAAGTCAGCACTCAAAATTAAAATTTCATTGGTGCTGGCACCGGGGATCAAACTCAGGTTACTCGAGTATATTGAGTTAAAGGCGAGCGCCCGGACACTGAGCTATCACGGCTCCTGAGGGAATGCGGTAGGGTTGCACGAACGGGCAGGTTCGTCTGGGTAAGTACCAAGACCTCACAGAAGACCGGCGTGAGGTGGAAGTCTTACACTTCTACGTTTCGTCTGCTGCCAGGGCTACAGCCAGGGCCCACTTTATTAAAAGGTGGCAACGCATCGGCAACTCTACGGGTGTTGCAAATCTCCATGGGCGGTGGTTACCGCTTAACATTCTAAAACTTACCCACGAAAAATGAACAGACAGATCTAGGTTAAAAAAGAGCAGATTAAACTTTGTAATGAGGCGCTATTTAAACTAAGAAATATGTTTCTGTACTCTCTTTATTTTAGTTTATATTTATATCCATTCTTTGGAACTGTTGGAAACGTAGAACTATCAAAGACAGGTTATATATTTATAAAAACGTGTTAAATAAAAATATATACGGTCGAATTGAGAAACCTCCTCCTTTTTGAAGTCGGTTAAAACAATTTCATTGTTTCTTGTGTGAATGTGTATGGCAGTTTAGTATAAACTGGGTGGCAATTTAGACTGTGGCCATGGCCACGGAACAGCTTGGAAACAAGAGTATTTTTTTCCATTAGCGCCAGGTGTTTTTCGACCTAACAAAAATTTTATTCGGTAGAGAAAAATTACTAATGAATGTCGCTTATAGTTTTCGAGAAAAATATTTAAAACTCGTTATTTTCACAAAGAAAGTCCGCCATTTTACTAATTTGACTAAATACACCGTACTTTCCAACATGATAAATATAAGAAGCGGGCGACGTCATACACGTATCGATTTTAAAACTATTTTTTTTTTAAATTTTTTGAGTTGAGATTCGACACAGAGTAATCAGACTCGGATAGATTAGGTTAAAGCGGGAGCTGAGCTAGCTTTCGCGGTTATTTTTTTCATGATCGCTCAGAACGTAAGTATTTTAAAAACTATTTTTAATATAACTCTAACTCTATTTTTGGCTAAACATTAGCAAGTACTTATTGTAAATTACTACTTATTACTGAGGAATGCCTGATATTACTTTTAATATAATTAACGATAAGTTTAACTAGGATTGCATCTTGAACTTGGATTAACTATTGAGGCGATATAGTTTTACACATTAATTTAACACGGCACACAGCACACATATCTAAACCACGTCAAGATTTAACGATAAAGCATTCACAGACCTCACTTTAGCTCAATCATGATTGGACCGACATCAGATCCAATTAAGGGTTCTTGATACACTTTCATTTGCAATTCATTTGCGGCAATTTGTCGCTCAATAAAGAACACAGCGGTGACTTTTTTATTGTCCGCCATTTTAATCCTAATAACTTGTGAAAGTTAGTTCACAATTACGACGTTTTGTACGTATCACAATGTGTATAGGTACGCGGATGCATGCAAAGATTTTATTTTTACTTTCGAAAATATTATTCAAAGTGTAACGTGTAAGTACAGTATAATAAACTTAATTCATTAGCGAGTATGTAAAGTTATTTGTAACTTTGCCTAAAGTTAAGATTTTTGTTCGTCTGCTTTATGTATGTTTTTTTTTGTTTTCTCTGTGACTTGCGTACTATGTCTACATATAGTATAATAAACATCATATAAAAACAAAAGTAAGTCTGTGTCAACTTTCGTTGACTTAATTTTAGCTCTTAAAAACTCAATTCAAAATTTAAAAAGACAAAGATTTTTTTTTATCATAAAGGCAAAAACTTCATAATTCGTGACTTTATATTTTTTTTATTTTGTTTCACAGTTAAAGGTTTGTTATATGACACTTCGTTTTATTGCCTTAATATTTGCAATGCATTCGGCACACAGTCTCGGTTAGCTGATAAAGCTGCATGAATGTTGCCAACGTGAAAGTTTTATAAGGAGAATTTCTAACGAATTTAGTTTATTATACATATATATTTTTACACGTCTTAGTCGTTTCCGACTAAGACGCTTACAAAGTACTCTCGTATGATAGCTTGTGTACGTGGGCCTTTATTACGAATTCCTTTACGTAAAGATAACCATATCACCTCCATTTCTGCGAACGCTGGCGGTGGATGGAATAGAAGAGAGCTAATAAATTGTAAGTTTGTATGTATACTGCCGGCAATAAACAATTTCATACATAGTCTTACCACTCTCTTACGTCAGAACATGGTCGAATTGATTTGCGAAAGACGATATTGTCAAACCATTTGTTTTTTTACCATTATTGTGTCATTGGCGGTATCATACGGACCGCCAACTGCCTTAGAAGAAGAAGAAGAAGACGATATTGTTTTTTAATAATGTCATCAAACACTGAACAAGTGACATTAAATAACTTACTATTTAAATATATAGCCGCGATAGCTCATTGTCAGGGCGTTCGCTTTTAATTTAATTTACTTAACCCGAGTTCGATCCTCGATGCCTGAACCAATGAAATTGTCAATTTTAAATGCTGACTTATCACGTGCACAGCGGTGAAGGAAAACATCGTGAGGAAAACTGCACATTTTCGAAATAAGAACAAAAACAATATTTCGAAGATTGTGAAGTCCCCCAATCCGTAGTGGGGCCAAGTAAGCCCTAATACCCTCTGTACAGAGAAGGCCTTTGCCCATATGGTGGCAATAATGTTTAATTAATTTAAATATAACTCAATCATTAAATCATTAACATATCCTGCGTCAAAGACGTACACGTCAAAAATTGTGTGGTTGTACATTTTATTGAATATCAGCTAAAATAATAAGTTCACGTCAAAATTACGTGTGTTCCAAAAGTCATATAAATATTTCTGTATTGTCCCTAGTACTTACAGATGTTTGGTCACCTTGAAACATGAAACTGCAATTCATTTTCCTCCAAAAAGTATTATTTGTCTGTCCCAGTTATAATTTCGGCGTATACCTAATACGGTATTTGTATTAACTCGGATGAGCGACCTACATACAGTTGTCTCATAACAACATTATCAACTCAATTTAGAACGCACGCTACATTACTCACGCATTTTAATGTACCTAGGTTCTTACTCGTGGTCTTTATGACAGATGATTGCGCTTTCTGTCCGTAGACTATATATTCTTCAGGCCCAGAGCTCGTTTTCTCTGCCTTGATAGACTTTGACTTGAGTGGAGTCATGCATGCGTGTATAGAAATGAGGAGATTGCCGCTTACGGGCCGTCTAGCTAGAAGGTAGCAAGGACTCAGACGGTATTCGAAACGTCGCCGGGTTATAATTCAAATAACCGTTTTGAAATCCTTTACGTATATTTATTGAATTGTTTAATATCCGGAGTCGGTGGTGTCGCAGCGGTTCTAACTTCGAACATTCTATGATAGGTGACCAGTTGTTACCAGAGTGGATTTTTTTTCGTGTGAGAGGGTGGCAAGCGAACTGGCGGTCCACCTGATGTTAAGTGATAGCCGCCGCCCTTGGACATTTGCGAGACCCGTAGATTTACAGAATCGTTGCCGCCTTTTAATAAAGCTGGCTCCTCACCAACGAGTCGAGACGCGGTAGTATAACACCTCCACTTCACGCTGGTCTTCTGTTACCTCGTGGCAATTCCCGGACGGACTTGCCCATTCATGCAACAGAGCTACTACCTAAAGAAATTTAGGTGCTAGTTTCGTCTTCACCACCGCTTAAGTTCACGGTTAAGACTTTAGGTAACACTTAAGCGGTGGTGAAAACGAAACTAATACTTAAATTTCTTTAGGTGCCCCTTAAAGTTAAGGGCCGACGGTGAAAACGAGCATTAATGTTTAATACTAGGTAAATTCAAATAGCCTTCAAATAACCTAATTCAAATATTTTTATCTTTATATATGTGTATAATTCTTCTGTACGTTAAAACATGTAGAAAAAGTACGAAAAGATTGTCGCCGCTGTGGGAATCGGACCCACGTCTTCGGCATTCGCGGCCTGACGCTCTAGCCACTGAGCTAAAGCGCTGATAGCCACAGCGACGAAATTCTTAACGCCTTTTTCCTACATTGTTATTTAGCATTTGAAGCAATGCTTGGCGCATCTGTTGTTATATCCTTTCCAGAATACAAACAATTTCTAATATGTATATTGACCGAACTCCTAAACTGCTGAACCGATTTTAATGAATTTTTTCGTATGTCTTCAGGAAGATTCGGGAATGGTTTAGATTCACAATTCGGTCCACTGCAATGTTTTTTTTTTTTTGTTTATAAGTTGTTGTCAAATTTAAGGTGTGTACAGGAAGTCTGTCGGGTTCGCTTCTTCAATATAGAAAGCATTAAACTCACTCATTGATTGTAAAAACACCACAAACAGTTAGGAAAAGAAAAGCCACTGATCTGAGAAGAGACGGGAACAGAAACTCATCGGGAGAATTCTAAATCTAGTGCCTCATCTAGAAATCTCAGGCGGTTAATCTAGTGCCCGCGGTCGTCGAATGGGTGAAAGTGTATTAAATGCGGGTGAAAGCGATCGACAAAGGAAGGTGTCGCTTTGTTGAATTAATCTTTGTGCGCACTCTGTGTTCCGAAGTGCTGTTGCACTTTCGGTCTATTGTTTACATTTTATATACTCCACAGAGTAAACAGACATAGTGGAAATTGAAAACTAATTTATTTTTTTATTTATTCGTCTTATGTGCTGAGACTAACATTAAAAAGTAATAATAAATTTCAATAGCAAGAGTGTGCGTAAAACTCTTAAAAAAATGTCCCAAATACTTGCCTCACTAAGATCAGGCTTTTTATATATGAATTGATTTGTATTCAATTGTATTTTTATAAATTGCTTCAACAGCCGTATACTATGGAAATCATCAAGAACGAATGCCCTTAGAACAGGCTTTGCCTTGTGTGGGGGTCAGAAAGAAATTAAAATGTAATTAGGCTTCTTTTTACTAAAGTATGTTTATTATTTATTTAATTGATATGATCTCGGATCGGATCTCTGCCTCTGAAATGTTGTATATTATTGCTCACGTTTAAAAAAAAATAAGTAGAACTTTTTAAGACGTATAAACACACTGATAGGCGGGCGAAGTTACTTTCTACTATAGCATTGTAATAAGACCTGTTTGCATTACAATGAAGTTTAAATGCTATGCAAAAAATACGCAACAAATGACAGACATCGAAGCGATAGTAAGAGCTGACTTTGAAGATTATACAAGCTTATTCTTGAGTAGGCTGTCTGCTGATACATATATTACAAGAGGTCTCGAAATCAAAAAAGTTACCGAGTTGAGTCTAATTGGTAGACTTACAAGAATGTTTCTAAGATCTTATGCACGTAGTTAACTGCTGAATAAGTATCACTACATAGTATAAAACAAAGTCGCCCGCTGTCTGTCTGTCCCTATGTATGCTTAGATCTTTAAAACTACGCAACGGATGTTTATGCGGTTTTCTTTACTAGATAGAGTGATTCAAGAGGAAGGTTTATATGTATAATACATTGCAACGATGCGAAGCTGGGGCGGGTCGCCAGTTTCTTTAATATAATGACAATAATATAATATCTATAGGTTCTAATAATATTTATCAGTTTCGTCCCAATAAATGAACACAATGTAACGACAACCACTCAAAGTGGGCTTAACGAAAGCGGTAACAAGCTATTAAACAGTAAAGATAAGTATTGTTCATGTTTTATCGTAATGCGGTTGCAATAATAAAGATCTAATCAAAGATAGCGTTTCTAACGGCGGCGTAACTTTGTGATGGGTTGCCTGTTGGTTTCATTGAGTATTTTTCCCAAGGGCACATGGGAATGGATCGATGTTAAATAGAATAAAAAACTTTTCTTTTCGTCGGGTTAGTGAGGTAACCTTTTTCACACTTTTGAAGTTGTCAAAGGTCCCGCAACTTCAGGTGTGCAAGGGAACCGCCGAACCGTTAGCTGGAAACGTCTATCCTTTATTTGGTCATAGACAAACTTATAGATACTCACATCGACTTCTTGATTTAATAATAATAATACTTTCGGATCAATCATTCGGATCGATGAGTCAATCTGTACGGACGTCATTAGTTATGATAAAGGACTTACCCTCTATCCTTAGCCAATGAGCAATGGCAGGACCCAGGAGTCCTGAGCATTTACGCCCGTGAGACCATATGGTCTCAAGGTAGTAAACGCTCATATACGGTACGGTCCATATGAAAGGAGAAAGAGCTCCACGGGAGGTTCTACAAGGCTCTACACGAGACTTTCGTAGATACTGTTGCCTCGTTTAACTAGCTACGTTTCGGTGACCTTTTTGGGGAAACCGAACTAGTAACTAGTTTTATTTTATAGATACTCACCTAGTTTGTAGACGAGCCCATCCTTCAGCTTCTTGCTCCTGAACTCCGGGTAGTTGTACGCGCGCCAGCTGGAGCCCCCGTAGTTCACGCCATCCACGACCGTATCGCTCATGAGACAGGGGTCATTGTCGCATCGCCAATCAGTCTTCATCGTGACCGGGTCCTTCACGCATTCGCTGCAAAGAAGACGCTCGGTCAGGTGGAACGGAAACGTGTCATATTCTCCGGAAATTAAGGCTCGATTTCGAACGGCATTTGTACGTTAGACCGCGTAGAATCTGTCGCCTCTACTAGCTATTGTGAAATGGAATCCGGACAGCGATTAAATGCATCAGACTTGAAGCGTACATGTTAAGGATGTAATCTGAAATATGAATGTGGGTTTTAATGCTATCGATTTAGAGATCAAAACAGATTGCAGTTTTTATCGTACGATTTTTCCGCTGTTAGTACTGATGCCCGCAACGGAATAAATGAACGCGTTGCTAAAACGCAATAGATTAAAAAGACCCAAGATATTTATAATAAAAATCTTTTTAAGAAACGCCATGAACATCGATTAGTTTTTTTCAAAGAGGATTGATATTGAAAGTATTGGCCTGTTTCCACTGTTATAAAGAACATAGTTTTTATCGTAAAAATGTTTTTGAACACGATTATGCTCGCTCGAAACTAATCGATTTATTATGTTCTTCATTAGAGACGCATTGCGCGAACTGAATACTCAGCGTAACAAAAATGCTGTGAATTAAAAGTATAACATGGCAAGGAAACAAACGGACACATGATTCCCTTATAAATTCCCATGTTAATTATTTAAAAAATCAGAGGAGGCATCCCTAATGAAAATATTTATTCCGTTCAGAGACATCCCTAATGATCTATTCCGTCCAGAAACCAATTGAGAAGTACAATACGAGGTGAATACATTTTTGTGCTCATATCTTATACGTATCGCATTAAAAAAAAACTTTTATTGGAAATACATATATTGGATCATTTTCGTTGGTTCTTCCCTTACACACTTCTTCATCAGGTCACATACAGTGAATCGACTGTTGAATTAAATTCATAGCCGAGTTTGTGTAATGTTATTGGGGATAATCTTATATGGTTATAAGTTGAAAAAATGCCCATTGTAATTGTTAATTTATTTCCACTGCCTAGTTTCCCTATTCAAGGGACAGGTTTAAAACAGAGTTGGCTCTGTTCGAGTCGTCCAGTCCAGTTTAAGAAAAGTGACTCTCGAATGTAAAATATATTTAATTGTTTCTTTTTTTGTTTAATCGTCATTTTGGAAATAACTTTCCGTTAAAGCGCCAGTCGTATTTAAGTTTCATAAAAGTCATCCTTTTATTTATAAACCAGTCATTGTTTGGAGCCAGATTCTTTTGATTAATAATACCGAAAGCTTGGTAATGTGAGAGTAATAAAAACAAAGTAACCGTAAGCCCCGTGTGACAACCGAAACGCGAACTTTGTAGATATTTTACTAGATTGACATCCGATAAGTTTTTTCTTTCGGCATTTTTTGTTTCAATGTAAACGACACGTTCAAATATGTCACAGTGACACACGATACTCTGTAACGTCAGTTTTGGCGGCAAAATTAGTTTTTTGTTTTTTTCATAATCAATTGAAGCTAAATATTTTAAAGATTAGTTTGTTTACTTAATTAAAATGTGTTCGTCGCGGCGATGTAATACTATTGCTAATATTTTGCCAACAGTAGCGGTTTCTAAGGATGATCACAGGTGACTCAAAACCGCCCAATGGTATTATGCATGTAAAGTGCCTAGTATACTAAATCTATTAATAATTTAAATATGACCTTAAATAACCTTAAGTAAATCTTACATAACCTATACAAGATTTATCACAGTACACGGAGTTTATATGAGACGTAATACATACATTACATACATACATACATACATACATACATACATACATACATACATTCATAAATACGTGTGTATGTGTCTAGTATCGTTGTTTCAGGAATCTTTGGAGTGTCATTTAAAGTTTCGGAGTGAGGGCAATTTACTCTATTCAATGGAATATCTATATATATGTTAAAGAGAATCTTTTTAACGGAAGACTTGAAAAATTCGATGAACCTTTTTATAAAATTTTGTCCACTTTATATGAAATTATATGATTAGAAATACCACACAAAATAATAAATGAACGGTTAGTGCAGTTTTCACAGGCCGTTTACAACCTAGATGGTCCCGCGGAATTTTAACGAAAACAAAAACTCGACACACATTTTCGCTCCGCGGAACAATTCGAATGGTAATTAAAAAGCGCAAAAGAAAAAAACGTAAACGGAACTCGCTCCGAACCAGTCCGTCCATAACTGACAGCGGCAGCAAAAGGAATGACCGACGTCGCGGCGCCATTGTACCGGCATTATTAAGAAAAGAGTAAAAGTGGCACTGAACGAAGATCAAGGCTAATAACAATATGCCCCGAACGGAATTAACAATGTCCCGGATAATTTTGTTCTAGAAAACAGCTTGGGATGATAAAATTTACGACTACTAACGTTATAACGATGTATCGTGTTTACTTTCCGGGTACGTATTTGAAAAGATTATTTTGATACGAAACTTATTTATACATTGAACTTTTTAAAGGTCGTTTAAGTATGTGATTTTACGTAAACGTCGAATTTCAATAATTTCGCTTCACAGCTTTAATATTCATAACACGATCTAATGACACATTTAATATAATTTTTATTGGACTGGTATCTATATCCTATCAATCGTGATCAAACCAGCCGGTGATTTTCAGTTTTCGGTTCTCGTATGCCGAAAATCACCCCATAAAGCTAAAAAAATCACTCGTGGTAAGTTTCACTAGTTGCTTTACGTAACGTACGGTATTACTCCACGTCATTGTCTTGAGTCAATTGACAATGATCTTTGAGAAGAGTCGGCTGATTGAAGGGGTTCGATCAAGGTACGTCGTAAAATGTTAGCTCGCCGAGAGTCTTGCTGTTCAAAGTCAACGTTAAAGCTGGGACGACGAGTGAAAAGACAGCTAACGCCAAAACAAAAGAAATCCCCGATACGTCTAGCAGCCGTCGATAGTATGTTGCAAATAATGTGATCGCACGAGACTCACGAATGGCCTTATTAGGCACATGTCCGGATGTTCATAAATTAACATGAGTCACTGTTTAATTCGAAGACAGCGGTGGACCTGCAGACGGGTGACCAACCTTCCATAGCGTGAGCTCTAGTTCATTCACCAGAAGAAACGCAGAAGTGTAATAGTTCCACTTCACGACGGTCTTCTGCCAGGGTGTCGTAAGTCCGCTGATCAGTCTTCCCATTACCCAGAAGATAGGGGATCAGACTTCCCATTTCCCAGAAGATAGGGGAGTGTACTAAAGCAGGTAAGCTTAAAGGTACTTTTCAAATAACTTTAAGTGTTTCCGTGTATGCGTGCCATAAATAATACCGCATTATAACACGATTATGGTGCTTACGTAAGATCTTGCTACAAAAATTTATCTTTACGCGTCAGCAGAGGCTTAAAGGAACTTCAAAATTAATGATATTACGCCAAAGAGACTAACAAATGGTAAACACCTTAAAAAACTATTGAAATGACATACAATTCGTTTAGCGACCTGCTGTGAATTGGAGGATGGAGGAGGTTTTTTAAAATACGTCGAGATTCGCCAAGAAAAAAACACCTCGAGGTGAACGCACTGAACTCGGTATGGCTCTACTGTTATAGGGTTGTCAATGATTAAAAGGAAAACGTAAATCTGACTCCTCATTATGTTCAAAACGCAACATATAATTTTAGAACGTGTACAGCTTCTGAGGCAAACAATACTTTACCATATGTCTATGATCGACATAAAGAAATCTGTGGTTGGCCCCTTTACATGGTGTCCTCATAGAACCAAAAGGGGAATTCGTGCAATTAAGATTTATTGTTCACACGATTTTATATATTAATTTACAAATAAAATTTTTGAATTATGTTTAAGACAATTTACAAACATCGGGAAACTAAGCAGAGAAAGAAAGAAACAAAAAAATGGTAGCTATTGACGAGCTTTGTTATTATGAAAAGAAAGTTTAATAGAGTCTTTTTTTTTTCTTCCTCCTACGTAGTCGAAGCCCTAATCAATAAATCTCCATTCGCATATATTTTGTTAATTGTTCAATGATGTTTTTTTATGGTAAGTCTTTCGACCAGTTGGTAAATACTCGTACGTACATGTATCTGATTTAAAAAAAGTTTTATTAATATAAAAAAGGCAATGCGTTCCTTCGGAGACGAAATTACTCAATGGATACATTTTAAAAACATTATCCGATATTTTTAAAAATCATCTTAACAATGGATGTAACTTCATATACTATCATTTTTATTGAACTTGTACATCCTATTCGGGTTGACAGCCTTAGCTCGCGCTCGTTGTATAGACGCGAAAAAGCGCAGTAAAAAATTGGCGCCAGATTGTACTTTTTGCAATTCACCGTTAATGCAACCATTTATCTACTTTTACTTATATATTTCTTGTCTATATCTTTATTTGTATGCAATAATCACGCTTCTCGATTTAAACGGGTCAATGGTAAATTTGAATTGATGTCCATTAGAGACTGAAAAGGTACTTCTAGTTATGCAAATCATCTAACAAAGTTTTTTGACCCCACAATCAAAAGGTGGGATGGTAAGTTTACTCGTTCACATTTAAAAATAAACTAAAGTCACGAAGCGATTATTTTATGAAATAAAATAATACAGGTAATTCAGGTTTGTCGACAAAAAAAACAAAAGCTGTCATTGTCAGTGTATACATATACGAGTAGATACATCCCTATCAATGTCAAGTCATCGATGAAACATGTTAACTATTGAGGCGATTGAATATCAGCCAATCAAGGTCCCCGGCGATCAGAGCGATTTGTGTCATTCAATCAGTCGTTCGGTCTTTATGGGGACTGCGGTCGCGATTGAATGAAAACTCTTCCGGGCGTTTATTGTTGATGACGCGAATGATCGAGACGTCGGGCCAATTACCGCGTTTCTTTGAAAGCAAAAACTACAAAGCGAAAAAACAAACAGTTCAAATGTTGAACCTCATGTGTGTAGGGTTCAAAACAAACTCGCTTCGTTAAATAAGCGACAAGAAAAACCT